ATTCCTCCTGGAATGTACTTCACATGAAGAGTGGAAACGGTCTTCAACAGCAGCAGCAGAGTGAGACAATGTTTACCATCTTTTATATGAGGTATTAAAAGTTATGAAAGCACTTGCCAGCAGTTGTATTATCTTTGTTTGGCTTTGCCTTGAGCTATAAACTTGGCTTAACTTCACCTCAAGATTTCACAGTGAATAATTTCTCAAAAGACCTCTGTGGTTATCTTGTTTTTTGCCAAACAGCTGTTTCATGGCCACGAGGGACGAGTGAGAGCAGAGATCCGGGATGGGAGAGATTATTCAAACACGTGAGGCGCAGAGACGGGAAAATACAAAGACGGAACAGAGGAGACGGAAAGAGGCAGAAGGATGTAAAGGGGGGAGAATTCAAACATGTGCGTCTGTCCACACTTGCTTGATTGTGTCTATGGCCAGAAGCGAGAGGAGGAGAGTGGGAGGAATAAGACAATTAACATGAACAGCACTCTGGGGAATGTCGGTTTCCTTGACAACAGCGGGCATAGCCAAACAAACGGGCCCTTTCATAACAACTCAAAACAAACAGAAACGTCTCCCTTATTAGCACGCTGCCATTGGGGCATCCCTTTCTGTCATTCTACAGATGAGGTTCATATGTTTCTTTCTAATAATCTTCCTTTATCTTGAATTTAGCTGCTGCGCTCTATGTGCAACAAGTGCTTTTGAAAACACTTTATGGATTTGCACTGACAAATATTTATTACCTTGAAGCGGTAAAAACTGATCTGTTGAAACCATCAGAACTTTGTGTTCGTGTGAAAATGTGAGAAAACAGGACTTCCTGGCAAATGCTGTGGAGCTGATCAAACGAGGAGATGAGAGGAGGATGAGACGCTGCCCCTGCTGCCCCAAATACTGCTCCACAGAGGGAAAGAGAGAGAGGTATGTGTGCGAGTGTTAATTGTAAATTTGTGTTATGGGCTGGGTGGGGTTTTTGTTATTCAGAGCAGCGTTTGATGAGCCAGCAGGTCCACCCTGTGTGCTGGCAAAGGTGCTGTTCTATAATCAGTTGCAGGAGACCTTGAACAATAGTCCTAACAGCATTTCATTTGCTTGCTTGCCGAGAGCCAGATGAGAAGATTGATACCACTTTGAGTCAGTCAGCAGCTGGTTAGCTTAGCTTAACATAAAAGACTGGAAACATGGCGAAACAACAAGCTTGGATCTGTCCAAATCTGCCAACAGGCACCTCTACAGTTCACTCATTAACGCGTTATATCTTGTTTGTTTAATCTGTTCAAAAACCAAAGCGTAATGCTTCTCAATCATCACTTATGACCCACTGAAAGTCTGCGGTGGTGGATTCATCTGTAAAGGCCTGTGTCTTCTGATTCACTTCTTATTTTTATGTGTTTGTCTGGTCTACAGCTTTGGGCAGTGAGTGTGTTGCCCCCAGATGATTTGAGTGTGCAGGTGAGGTCGGGACTTTATAAAAAGGTGCCATACTGTAACATTGTACAGAAAAGATGGAGAGAGTGCCAAAAAAAATTGGTTCCTTCCCACAATTGCCAACCGCTTACTCAGAGGGAATCCAAAGGCAACTTTGGATTGTTGGGTTCCCTGTTTAAATTTGTAAGGTAACCTTACCATGTTAAGTGCTATGTGATGACATATGTTGTAAACTGCGCTATACATATAAAATTGAAATGAAATGAACTGAAGCCAGCATGCTTTGTTGACCACCATCCTCTGCACAGTGGAACAGACTTCACATATGTTACAGTTTCTAAGCGAGTGCAAGCGAACTAAACCTTAACTGCAGTGTTTTTGTAGCTTTGGGCAAAGTTAAGATAACTGGTTACTGGTAGAGGTGACTACACAGTCTTGGTGTTGTCAGGTTTTAAAGCTGCCTTCATCACATTGACACATTCTTTTTTCATTTTCCAACCTCTATTAACACACTTAGTACTAGCATCACTCAGAGTCTCTTTCACTGACTAACAGGTTCACAATGTTACTGCCTGTCTTGACTGGCACTGAGAAACATTATTGTTTTTCTCTCGTAATTGCTCATTTACAATGGCTACCTGTAGAATTTTGCATCACAACAAACTTTATGGGTCACTTTTAAAGCATTACATGGCCGTAAACCAAGTTATGTATATAACCTCTTAGATGAGTGAATGGGGCTCAGCTGGTAATTTCCAGGTCCTGGTGTGTGAACAAGGGTGATCAGGCCTTTGACATTAAAGCAACCCAACTTTCACACAATCTGCACATTGAGATCAGACTCGCAGCAGCTTTAGTTTCTTTTAAATCTCTTCTTAAAACCTTCTCAAGGGCCTTTATCAATATTTGATATACGACTGTGTTTTGTCTTTCCTTTATTGTTTCCGCTCCGTTTTATGGCCTGGGTTTTTTTTTTTGGGGGGGGGTGTTTATGATCTTTCTTTGTGATCTTTCTTTTTATGCTCTCTGGCTGCTTTTATGATCTTTTTGTTTTTGTTAAGACTCTGTCACTATGTTAAGAAAAGTGCTATGTAGATGAAGGTTATTATTTTTATGTATAAGGTTGAGGTGTGGAGAGAGCACTGGCTACTTACCAAATCCTTGCTTTTTTTTTTTTTACCTCAAATTTTGCCCTATAGACTGCAACAGATATATGAGCAGGGGGGTCAAAGGTCAAGGTACAATGTAATGGTGATGTTATATGACCCAACTGTGTGCATGTACTGCATGCAACACTGCATACTTCGTAAGGGCAGCAGCAGTAGGTACTGAAAGGAAAACAAAAAGTATGCAATTTGGAACGCAGGGCTGTTATACCTTTACCACCAGGTTGAACAGAAGTGTTTTTCTACCCTCCGTGGCTGATAGTTTTATATGTGTTTCACCTTGGATGTGCTCAGACGTGCACTCTGTGGCACCATGCTAAACCAAGATGTGACTTTCATTTGACTGCAGGAAGTAAAGTCACTGGAGGTCAGCAAAGTTTTTAAGAAAGTGTTGCTTAGAAAATGTGTTTTTAACCTTTGGACAGAGCCTGGCTAAGTGTTTCTCCTGAATCCAACCATTCGTTAACTATACATTCATGAGAATAGCATCCTTCTCATCTAACTGTTCTCAATTGGCACTTTTGCAACCATTGCTTTGATTTTACAGTAAATAGTGTTAGCTGCATGTAAAAGTTGCAATTAGATTCTGTATGTGCTTCCTGGGAATGTAATAATTGCTGCTTTAATCCATCTTTTGACACATTTCTGCAGAACAAGGACCGATGGGTGGAGGTTGGCTAACTGTTCAGCCATGCATGCGTCTCCCACCGCTCACCACCCACACCCCTTTGTTATTTTCTATTTATCTCCCTATCTTTCTGGTGGCAGTTGTTTCTAATGAAATCATCAAATACCATAAAACCAGCTTGTATATTTTCAGCACGGTTGGTTCAAGTGGAAAGTAAACTTTCAACATTGGCGTCGGAGCCTTTCAAATGCCGACTGCACTAATTCCTCAGAGCCAACAGTGACAAAAGCACTGAGGTGGCTTTTGAACGTAAATGTCCTGTTTCCGAGAGTGAAACCGCAGCTGCAAGATGTGAAAGGAGGGAAGCTTTTGTTGTGAAATAAACAGATTTCTCCCTAGTGATTAATGCCAAGAGTCATGAGGGTGTTCAACCCAGTTCATCAACAGAGAGGGGAAAAAAAAAAGGGAAGAGAAGGACGGGGAATTTGGTTGTGGTGCTCCATCTGAAGAATGGATCTGGGTCAGCGTTTGTGTGACGAGTCGGTCACACAGTATAAGCAGCACTACGATTTTTCTCTCAAACACTGACAGGCATACCCACGACTACACACCCAAAAATTTCCTTTTCCATCATCCTCTCTGCACTCTTAACATTTCCTCTCTTCCTCTCTTTACAACATCAGTTTTGGACAGAAGCACAGGCTCCATCCAGCTGTTCGCTCTGTCCTGTTGATAACAAAACTCAAAGTGGACCAAGCCCCTGTCAGTTGATGTACAGTAACGGTAATTACAATAAAGGGAGTTGCAATGGTTTATAAATATTTAACTTTCTTTTTTTCAGAACAATGTTTGGTTGGTCAGGTTGTGAAAAAATACCCACAAAAGCTGTGAATCATCCAGCAGGAGGACTTAGTGAAGCTTGTGGACATTTAGAAGGACAGGATTATGTTGTCAGACGCTTTGATCCGGAGTTATCTGAAACGATTTCTTGCACAACCAAAAGTGGAGCTGGAGGCACTCAAGCGTCTGGCTACGGCTCTCGCTGACATGCCAGTATGCAGCATGCCAACAGCCTGCTCTTGTCTTTGTCTTGCCATTTGTGGCATCGTGCCATTTAAATAAAGCTGCATTTTAAGGTGGACTTTTATTGTCACTGGTCAAAGGAGTGTTTGTGTGCTGGTCACGCTATCTGATCATTGTCCATTTGAGCCTGACTAGGGTGTGGATGAAGTCAGGGGTTGAGAATTTTTCGCAAGTAAACAGTTTAAAAACTCTGTGTGCATTCTGGGTAACTTAAACAGTTTTTCCCACCAGAAGGGAAATTTTAAACCTTTTTCTCTAAGTCACAATAGAAGACCATTTGCATGCTGCATTGATATTTCTGTGAAGAGTACATTAGTCCAAAAAGAAAAAAAAAAAAAACAGCAGAGAAATTTTTCACAACCTGGAATCTCACATTGTTCTAATTAACAACTTATAAGTGATGAAATGTGCGCATGTTCTTTGTTGCATAAATCACTGTAGCTGTGACTGAACCCCCCTGACATGCCTAACTATGGTTCTGGCAAAGTAAGATCTGTTAAATCTGATGTCTGGGAAAATGCATGATCACAAACAAAGCTGGATGAATTCACTGATAAAGGAAATTGCCATTAGAAACAGCTCTAAAGTAGCCTCATAAAACCTGCAATAGAGCTAAACCTGTTTAACCTTAACACTGAGGACCTACCCAGCAGCAGTGATGTGATAAGTCACATGACCGTGCGGGGGTCAGAAACACTCCTCGTCTGCGGATGACACACTTTGAGCTCCGGCAGACAGGAGATCTCCTCCTCCAGCAGCGCACAATGATCCAACTCCTCCGCTGTCGACCCGGCTGCTTCTTTTGGACGACTCCAGGCTGTCACGGATCAACTCAAGTCAGCAGTTCTTGAGAAGAGAAGTCAAAGGGGACGACTGGTGTCTATTTACAGCAGGAAATCAGTCGAACTTCTTTCTTAGGCTCTGTGTGCTCTGAATTGAGGGGCTTTCCCTCCGTGTTCAGCCGACAGCTCACCTGCAGACGCCAGACCATGCGCTCCCGGGCTGCGCTCCCCCGGTAAGTCAGCTCTGCGTCGGGTTTGTCCGTGCGTAAAGCAGGAGCGGATTTGCGGATACATGACCCAGTTGGGTTGCAAACATTTGTACAAAGCAAAGTTATAAAGTGGAGAAATAATTGACTGTACTGTTAACATTTCAGTGATGCAGCAGTAAATGAAATTAATAAAAAATTTGTTCTAAATATGGTCTTTCACTTCTGTAAGAGTTGCAAGAAACAGGATGCCAATTTAGGATTTTGACATTTTCCATCAACTCTCCATAACAATGCTGGATATTGTATTCAGGAGATGAAGTCAGAGGAGAGGGTGTGAGGTTGCCTACAAAACTGCAGTTTGTATCACCCCTAACCCATTTACAAAAAACAGTCTGTTTCCAGTTCAGCAAAATGTTATTCAGCCATTTTTGCAGGCTTCAGGCCGATCCCTCAGGCCACTTTAGGAATTTTCCACCAGAGCCTGATCTTTGCCTTGTTTGTCATATTTGCAGCATTAAAAACAGCGGAAGGTTTCGGCTGCCAAATTCCAGCATAGATAAAATTCTTCAACTTGAAATACTCTCCCTCAGCTCCCATGCATGGTATAAATGCATGATGCTGGCTTTAGGAATGAGGATGTTTGATCAGGGTTCCAGGCATCCGGTCACGTTTAACAACTTGTGAAAAACTTGTGTCTGGCAAATTTCATCTGTTCGTCACAGTTGTTTACTTGGTCTCTCATTCCATCCATCCACAGGTTTCCCGCCCTCCTGTTTCTCCTTGTCCTTTCACCTGTTTCTTCCTCCTCCTCCTCCTCCTCCTCCCGACCTCAGTGGGTTCTGCAGCGTGTCCCAGTGGTCCTCCCCCAGCAGACAGAGACTCGACCGGCCCCTCACTTTCTTACTCAGGCCCGCTTGGATGTCAGCTCCCCCTGTGACCCAGAATGCCACAAGAAAGCCCCTCGCCCGAGCTACTGGGACCTGCGAAGTCTCCTGGCCTATGAGACCCTCCACTCTGATGGTCAGCTCACTGAGACCGCGATCGGGATCTATGGCTACAACCCCAGTTCTAACACCAGTCCAGCCTACCCCTCCGGGCCATCCGAAAAGGCTAAGAGGTCACATGTAAGGAGAAAGCGACAGATCTTTGGCCATGATGGGCGTTTTAGCATCGCCGGGCAGGACTTCCTGCTGAAATATCCATTCTCAGTGGCTGTCAAACTGTCCACTGGGTGTTCTGGTACACTGGTGGGAGACCGCCACGTTCTCACAGCTGCTCATTGTGTTCATGATGGTAAAAACTACGTGAAGGGAGCCCAGAAGCTCCGGGTTGGATTTTTAAAACCCAAGCAACGAGATGCACAGCATTCTTCCTTTTACCTTCCTTCCAACTTTACCAACCACGTTGAAGGTGGCCCTGCTCCCTACGCCCCACCCACCAATGACAAAATGAAGTTCCAGTGGATCAGGGCCAAGCGCACCCATGTTCCAAAAGGATGGATTAAAGGGAACGCCAATGACATTGGGATGGACTACGACTACGCTTTGCTTGAACTCAAGAAGGCCCACAAACGCCGCCACATGAAGTTAGGAGTCAGTCCTCCGGCTCAGAGGCTGCCTGGTCGACGGGTTCACTTCTCAGGATTTGATAATGACCGTCCAGGACAGCTGGTGTATCGGTTCTGTCGGGCCGGTGAGGAGACGTCCGACCTGTTGTACCAGCACTGTGATGCTCAACCCGGGGCCAGCGGCTCAGGAGTCTACGCCCGGATGTGGGACGGACGGCGTCGTCGCTGGGAGCGGAAGGTGATAGGTGTGTTTTCCGGGCATCAGTGGGTGGAGCGACAAGGGGCGTCTCAGGAATTTAATGTAGCGGTGAGAATCACGCCTCTCAAATACGCTCAGATCTGCTACTGGATAAAAGGAAACTTTGTGGACTGCAGAGAAGGATGAGGAGAATGCGGATCAAACAGGGGTGAAGCTACAAAACCGCCAACCAACTACACATTGTTCTGGAATATTTGAAACACAAGAAGCCACACTTTTCAGCTCACTACCTGTAGCACTGACAAAATGTCAATATAAATATCTAAATTTTGTTTGACTCCCCTGTTCTCAGATGCCAATATCAGTACAGATGAGACACAAATCCAGCAATGGATGCTAAATTATGTGAACATGGCATTTTGTTTTTGTGTAATTTGTATCTTCACTTACATTTCCAAAATATGAAAAAGGTTCTGCTTCTTGAAACCTTCATCTGGATAACCAAGTTATCTTCAAGCACCTCCATTCTGGAAATATGGAATGATGGAGTAAGACAGAGAGAGACCGTTTCTCTACTCATTATAGCCTTTTTTTTTATTGAGCTAATACTAAAGATTGCACTGTTAAAACTTTTTCTACTGAAAATGGTGTTTGCGGATGAATGTACAAGTCAGCTACCAAAGTTGCCCACTGTTTCTTTCCAAACTCTTCTCTCTGTGGACACACTAGTCATCTACAAGCATAGTGTACTAAAGTTAAAATGAAAAAAAAGTTTTGAAAGAGTATTCAACTTGTTATACAGGTTGGTGCTTAATGACTGCATTTGTCTCCTGCCAAGGGTGCGGATTTCTGGTTCCATGAAGCATCATTTGTTGAATGTTCTTTATTGCTTAGTGCCATCTGGTGGCTACATAAAACACTGCAGGTGTCCACAATAAGCATTATGCCAACTTTGCCTAGGCTTACATAAGCACTTTTTACTTTCTCTTATTTGTGATGTTTCTTAAACGGAAAGCTGTGGTGGATTTGATGAAATATATGCTTTGAAAAAGGCAAGTGTGTCACATATTTCTTCGACTTTTGCTCACACAACATATCTTAGTGCACAGAAATCAACACAATATCAGTTTAAACACCATTTGTTTTATTTCAGATGTCAAAAAGAATATTCAGAAATGCTGTGGGGAAACTGAACACTATAAAAAGCCGAAATGTGAGGACCAGCTCCCCTGATTTCTCCAGCACCGACACACTAAACAACAGATTAGACTAGGAGTCTGAAAATAGATCCAGGGATATGGCACATTACAAAAAAGAAAAAAAAATGCAAATGGATTTTTACTTGTAAGTCAATAAGCCACAGATCATCATCATCATTTCCACTTTTATCATCTCTAAATTTTATGTAGGCTCAAGGATGATCAAGTACACTTCAGGGCAATGCAATTAAGAGGTCATGAATTTAAATCTTTCTGAGTCTCTTTCCTCATTTCTCCTCTTTAGTTGTTATTTTATTGGTTTCACAAACCCAAATGAAGCAGAGTGAATGTTTTATTGGAGCAAAGACTTATCATTCAAGTAAGAACAGACATAGAAGCAGGATTTAAAGCAAACCTTAAATTGTCTCATTCCTGTGTTACTGAGATAAGGTCTCAAGAGTCAAAGTTAATGTAACACTACAACCATTCAAAACTGATATTCCAGTGATGGTATCCAATTGTAGGCCAGTGCTATTAACTACAAAAACATGTCACCTCAAGTTAACAACACAATTCAAAATTTGCTACATTCAAGTGGAAAATGACTGAAAACACAACATAAGCACCAAAGAACTGACTTGAGGATTAAGTTTGCAGACAAAGCGGCACGTGTCTGGCATTTGAGTTTAATCAAAGCCTCCTCAGACTTGTCCAAATGAACTCATCGGTTTCTTCTCTCTCATGAACACAACTCAAAACTTGACTGAAGCAGTTAATGTGAAAGTCACGACAGCAAAAGGAAATATTGACTCTCAGATTTTCTCAGATAAAACAAGCCCTCTGTTCATGTTTTATGGATTTCTGTCTGAAATCAGGACAGTTAATCAGGCCCTGACACTAATCCTTAACACTGCCTGAAGTTTTCTGTGGATTTGGTAGAGAGGAGGCTGATGAAGACAAAACCACTGAAGGGTGAAGATGTTCACCAAGGGTGACTGAACAGAAAGGCAACAGCATGCAAGGCAACCTGCTTTTAACACCATTTTGGTAACTGAGAATACATGAACCGGTAATGAGGTGACACATGCAGTCTTTTCCCTCCAGCTGTCACCACCGTTTGATTTTGCATTCATCACCCGTGAACATGTCACTGCTAAACATCCTCTGCTGTCACATCCATATGAGAGCGTGATGACAACATTTGCACTGGAACAAGGGTTAGGTCCTGGGATGTACCAGCAGGGAACTTTAGCCACATTCGTTTTGTTATCTGCATCCAGGCCACAAAGACATAAACCTGATGTGACATAGTCCTAAATCTCAGTATGGTTTAAACATTCAGGGTTAAAAAAAAATTTAGCCCAACCGAAGTCCAAGCTTGTCACATACTGCTGCTTTGTACGTTTAAATGCACTGGGTATAGTTTAGGGCTATTTTTTTTTAACGCACAGGGTTGTCAGGCCTATAAAGATCTGTCAACAGATGAAATAGCCACAATGGGTTCCTTGGTGTTTGCTCCTACAAAGTAAACAGTGAGTGATGACAGTTAGCTATTTGATCGAAGTGAAAAATAATAGTCTGACACAGGACACAAACTTCCGCTTCCTTGGTGCAAGTTCTGTGACTTATACAGTCTCCTTATGAGGCTCTTTTAAACTGGAAAAAAGAAACACATATTGGAATCAAATATTGATGCAGGTGACACTGACACCAAAGGAGAGGATCTGTGTATCTCTCAGATGCCAGCAGCAAAGCAGCAGTATCTGACAACCTGGTAATAAAAAAAAAAGGTTGAATAAAAACTGACTGGAAGAACTTTAAAAGCACAACGTTTTTCGCTATATTATAGCAGGAAGATTTCAGCATGTCAAAATAACTTTCGACTTTATTCACCATCTGCTTACAGCAGCAGTTATTCAAATTTTACTTTTTAAGTAACTACAACCAGGACCAGCAAGGCTTAATTTTTACCTCGACTGTATATGAAAGATGTACATATCCGTCACAACATCACTCATTGCTTTATGGACTGTCGTTTTGAAGCCTCAAGTTTCGAATTTGGCTGTTGCCATTTTCATGTTCTAAAACCTGATGATGAGCAAATGGTGGATCTGACTGAGAACTCAAGGATACTACTCACATCCATACAGCAGCGACTTGTCGAACGCAAGGTAGCCATGCTCTCAAGCACACCCTGCTTTATCCTCCATTTTATTATAAAAGTTTTCCATAACTTCGAATGAACACCATGTATTGAACAACACTCACATATTTACTGAGGTAATAAATCAAGAAAGATGTGGCAACATTTTCTAATAGACTAACATACAAACAGACCTGCCCCCTGCTGGCCATTTGTGTAAGTCACTTTTCAGCCTCAGAGGATACTTCCATCTTTACATATAGTCTAAGATTTTTACATTTTTGGGTGTGATTTGAGTTTAAGGAATCCAATAGTGTCTGCTTCTTCAGATAGCCAATGATGTAAACCAAGCAGACACTGATAGTAAAAGACATGAATAAGGTGAGTAAGAAGAAAACGGCAGTCTCTGCATTAGCAGAAGACAGGAGAACCTTATGTGTTTTTTTCCTACAGAGTAATTTCAGGTCAGTCTGTTGCAAAGTTTCACCTCCCTGGTTGGTGGAAAAAAAAAAATCAAAAAATCATACTGAGACTGCTTAAAGGAATAGATCGTAAATGTGAGTAATTCCCTCAACTTTTTGTGTACAACCAGCTGTTAGCTTAGCTTAAGGGAGGAAACAGGGAAAAAGCTAGCGCGACCCTGGTCAAATCTGTTTAAGCAAACAGTCACAAAATCCACTGACAAGGACCTCTAAGTCTAATTCGTTAATGTGATATATCTTGCTGTTAAAAAACTAAAAAGCAGAAATGACAATTTGGTGTTTTATGATGGGTTATGTGCAGGACTGTTTCTTTGTTATCCTCTGCCGATTGGTCAAATAATTGTTGTTTTTACAATTTGAAAATACAACATGTTAATCAGTGAGCTTTCGAGGTGCTGGTCAGTAGATTTTTCAAGGCTAACCGTTTGTGGTCTTTAATCTAAGATTGAGAAATGAGTGGCACTGATCCCCTCATCACTGCCCAAAAGAAGATAAGCACATTTTACGAAATGACAACCTATTTCTTTAACAGAAGGGACAGTTAGCATTAATTGCTGCACCAATGCTGAAATTATCAAATCATCCTGCAACCCCAAACAGCGATTGGTTCCAGATTTAAGATTCAAGGCAAAGTAGAATATGGGACAATCAGAATTCAGGATCTCAGGCACGACTCCATCCTCTCCTCTGAATTGCTCATCTGGTCTAACTGTCAGAGGCCAAGTCCACTCTGTGATTGGCCTCCTGCACTTAAAATATCTTTGGTGAAAGTCACCTCCTGGCATTCCCCGACTTCCCTGACGCCTAGCAATAACATAACACAAAATGCTAATGTCGTCAGCGTGGTAATGCCCGGTGTAACTCGAAATAGTATACAAAATAAAAATATTCTTTTAAATAGGTAAATATAAACATTGCATTAAAAATAGAACCGTATCAAAACACAATTATGAGTTCACAGTCTGTCCCTTAACCTCCGAGTGTCTTCCACATTACCAGACCTCCAGCCATCTCCTCTCCACATCCAGAGTTTGTATTTGAGGTCTCGCTGTGCCGAGCCTTTACTGCGACTTCAGCCCCAAACTGTTGGAGGGCAGAGGATAGGAATAGGCTTTGCCCAGTACAATGCGGTCTCGGAGTAGTTTAAAAAGGACATAGTAGTTGCAGAAGAGAATAAGGCCCAGAGACAGTGTGTGGTTCCAGCGCTCAGAGCGCAACAGAGAGTATAACTGGTACAAAACCACACTGGACTCAATCCAGATCAGCAGGTTGAGGATCCGCAATGGCTTGTGGAACAGGAACTGCAAAAGCAACAGAAAAAATCGGAAATAAACAAACCCACATGATGTTAAGATGTTAATATCGTTTTATTCACTGTGATAAAGAGTGGGTTCAGAGAACAGAGGGGATGTCTTTGTTTAATTTTAGATGTTTCTTAGTTAAAATGACACATCACAGTTCTTTCAGTGTCTGTGTTGTATCTTTGTAGCTACTGTAGCTCAAATGTTTGGTTATATTCATGAGCAAACACTCATCAGCTGCAGTGAAGCTTCAGAGCCTGGAAGTACAGCATAAGCCATTGCTGCAGAAATATAAATCCAGCTTAAGTATAATTTCTGCTGATGTTAGCAGTCTTTATTTTAGGTGAGATGGTGCATTTTTGACACTGCAGAAATTGCAGCAAACCAACTCTAAGCTGTGTAGTCTGTGGTAATGTTGTATTATATTGTAAAAGTGTCATTATTCCGTTCTCCACAAGTTATGACCATGTGATAAAAAATAAAAAATACTCACATAAAACCTTGCATGGGAGACATCAGAGGGCAGAGCGACATTATAGGGTCCGACTGCCTTATATAGACATCGACTGTGTCGTACCAGCACCCCCTGAGGCCAAATGGTACTTTCTGACCACCTGAAAAATGTCAACGATGCAGTTACACACAAACCATTAAAGTCATTTTTGAATCTGTGAAAAGATGTGAAAGACAAAAGGGACACTCACACATGCTGAGGTGCGTTGCTGTATGAGCCATGCTCCAGTTTCTGCCAGCGGCCCAGGTGAGCCGCCGACCGATGAAGCAAGTCGCAGTAGCTGGGAGGCAGCAGCTGGCTCATGAGCATCACAAATGCATTGATCCACACCATGATGAGGTGCTCACATGACCAGCGCATGTCATAGTATTGAGTGCTCTGTTGGAGAAAAGTGAAAAAGATCAGCAGGACACTAACACAACTGTAAACAACATGGATGGTAATAAAGTGACAGTGGGACACGAATATATGCAAGTGTCTTCATTCCAACAACACAATCTTCCATAAAATGACCGATACACACCTTGACAAAGCAGAGAGGCAGGAAGGCTACGTAGTATGCACTGAACAGCGAGTTGAACAGCACTTCCTTTATTCGCCGGTTGAAGTCGCTCTTTAGCTCCTCCACCTCGGCCCGAATCAGTTCTGGTGTGTGCGAGTGTGTGTGTGGTGGGCAGGTGTGAGTAGGCATGTGTGGGGGGCTGGAAAACTGCTCTCTGAGGTTCTCCCGTAACAGGAAGAGGAAGTCACGTGGGCGAAAGAACGGGGTCTCTGTTAGGTCGGTCTGCTGGTGGTCGGCTGGGTAATCGCAGTCGGCCGGTGCAGTTTGACTTTTCCCTCCCTCCTGATGGAAACAGCACAGCGGGACGTACACACCAAATCTGACGTGGAGGGAGAACAGTGAGTTAACGAGGAAAAGAAAAAAAATCTAAAACTAGCATTGTGGTTTAGTTTTTCAATGATGGCAGGATGCGAGGGAGAAGCATGATGTGAAAACATCATGCATTATTAAAATGGTGAGACACATTAGAGGAGGGTGGGTCCACAACTTCCATTTCCATTACCACATACATTAGGAAAAAATGAATAAATAAACAAACATGCTCCACAGCATGACAGTATCACTGTGAATGACCAGACTAACTAATAGCTTTGTGAATAATTTGTTTTGAAAGTCATGTTTTTGTCTAGAAAGCAACTCAATAGTTTACAATAAACACAAAATCAAATTCATTAGTTTTTCATAGTGAAAAGTTGAGGTTTTTCTTTGATCACTACAAGCAAATGGAATGGAGTGGTTTGTGTATGGAAGTAATCTGACCTTTATGGCACATTTGCACAATCTAAACACATAGAAATCAGACTGAAATAAACTGTTAAGACATCTTTTTAAGACTATGATGCCACGCACAACAGGAAAACTGAAGAAAAACAATGTGTTCCTGTCAGGCAGGTGTTAATGTGACAGTCATGATAATCAAAGTACTGCTGTTTGTGTCTCACAGAAATTTTTCACATATGTTAGCAAATTACACTTCAATAAGTCAACACCATAGTTCCACCTCAACTATACATGTAGTGTGTGAGGGAGAACTAAAGCATCAATACACTCAGATAAAATGTGTGTCAGACTCCAGCCAACCCAATTCCCCCTCATCTTTATAATGTTGGGAACAGGTGCTGCACCGACAATTTCTGTAACTCAAAACTGACTTTCTAACATTTGCACGCACTACACAAAGTTCAGTGTGCTGAGGTGAAAAGATAAGCAGGGTTTAACTCTCTGAACCCAAAGCAGTTTCTGGGCATTTTTTGCTCCTCTCACGTGTTTATTTACTGTGAGCTTGTTTTTCACTGCAACATGTATGGAATCAACATGTACAACATTTGTTAGAGTGCCCACAATGCTGGAAAAAATGGTGGGTGGATGTACATACTATGGATATCTGACTATTAGATGTGTTTCCATCCTTGTCTCCTAATTGCTCTGTGTAAGCACAACCTACAGTTAAGTCTAGTTCAGATGGAAAGTCCCTGAATTTTTGTCACATGACTGCTGGTCACAGCCACATGGTTAAACGGCTTCTTAGTTCGGTCGAGCAGCACAGAATCGTTTTGTTTTTTGAGAGATCTTGTTAGTACACATGGTTTATGTTTGGCCATTTTTTTTTTTTTTTAAATGAGGCATGTACGACAAAGTAATTTTGATGAAATATTGTCATTTTAAGCTTAAAGCTGGGTTGTTTTTTCTACCAATACTGAAAGTAAGAATTGATTAGTTCAAAGACTGCAAAAAAAAAAAAAATCAATAATCTGATGGTTCCACTGGTACAGCTTCTTGCTATGATATATAGTGTAATTTTGAATAGTTTTAAACAATAACATGCTGTTCAGAGTTGTAAACTACTCTCTCACTGTTATTACATTCATTTGTAAAATCAGTTCATTTTTCGGAGGCAAGCAAATGTAACACTATGAATGTCTTTTAGTACAGACAGTGAAAAGGCGCGCACCGTTATCAACATTTGTTTGATTTGTGTGTAACTTTCTGCTGATGGACAGCTTTTTGTCCTACCTTCAAGTGCAGTGGTTCAGAACAGATATAAATACTTGTGCTTTGAGGCAACCTGATCAAGCATAACCTGGCCTTTAAAGGGTGGTGTGTTGAAAAACTCACGGGTATCCCAGGAAGAGGAGGTTGAGCACAGAGTGGTTTTTGCAGAGGTTAACCAGCGTCCAGCAGAGCACCCAGCCACACATGGTCAGCAGGCTGAGCCGTGCTGCAATGAGGACCACGTAGCGGAACAAAGATCCCCCGCTGCTCTGAGACACCTGGACGAGACAGACGACAGAATAACTCACAGATATTGCAGAGACTGAGGCACCAACAACGTCATAATGAGGGTTTAGTTCCCACAGGGGCTGCAGTGTGTTAGCTGATCATATATACAGATCAGGTTTGTGTGTTTACCTCTGAAACAATTGTCCAAACAAGCCTCCTGGCCAACATGACTGTGATGAAGATAGCCAGGTGGTAGTCCATTAGATGGAAGTTCTGTAGTGAGGGCAAACGAAAGCTATCATTCGTTTTCCATGGGGACATTGTTGAACCTCTCAATAAAAATTTGTTTTGAGCTCTAAATTAAAATAAGCATGAATGTCTAGTTTTAAGTAGCAAAATCACCAAAAAAACACTAAAAACCTGCACATGCTGTTACTTTGAAGAAAAGATATTTTAGGTGAAGGTTTATAGTTTTGATGTTCTGAATTTGTACTATCCAAAAGTTGTGTTTTGTGCAACAAAAAGATACTGCTCATTGTCATTTGTATTTAATAAGGTCTCAATCAGAGCAAAGACTGTTTCCAATAATCGAAAGAGAAAGAGGAAAGTGACACAAAGCTACTAATTTAAAGCTGTTACACAAAGTAAGAAACAAAGCAAGAAAAAAATTCACAAATATATGTATGAAATTTATTTACATAATAAAGCAATGAAGCTTCATAATGGTTTTACAATCTGATTCTACTTTTAATATTCAAAATGCAATTTAAAAGACTTTTAGTGAGAAAAAAAAAAAATTATTCAACCTTGTTTTTGAATACCAAGCTTAGGTATAAGGAGGATTTTTTTTGTTTTCTTTTTAAACTAAACTAAAAAGAAAGCGGCAATGACTGTCAGAAGCAACACTACTGATGGGTGTGTGTGTGTGTGTGTGTGTGTGTTCTTACTAGCGAGGTAGAGGCAGCGGGGTGGCTGTATGGGTACCACCAGACCGTCCTGTAGATGTTGATGTACTGGACAAACAAGGCCACCAGCAAATAAAGAAAGAGGAGGAACTCAAACAGCAGGCTGCTGTCCAACGGCAGCTCTGGGATCCTTGAGTGACGAACCGGCTCCGGAGTAATGAGGGCTGACAGAGGCGGGGCAGACAAACCCACCGAGTTACTGCTCCTGGAAGAACATACATAAAAGTACCCACTCTCGTAAACAGAGATATCAGAGGAAAAGTACCTATGAGACCCAACATTAATCTCTTTATTGTAAATACTACCACAATACAATTGATTAAATATATTTATAGGGCATTCTAACTGTTTTAAAAGGATGAGGACTAATAAAGATGTACAGTGTAACTGTGCAGACCAAAAACTGTAATTACAAATGAAAAAACAGACAATTTACATTATTTATCACTAGTACTATATGACTGATTCAAGCAAAAAATAAATAAATCTTTGACAGCAACACTACATCTACAACTGTACAACTTTTTCACAACATCCTGAACAACACAATCCAAGGCAATACGTTCAACAACAAACTCCTGTTTACAGGAGCTCTGCATGTGCACGCACCTGTTCCTGAGGCCAGTACCATTGCCGAGGTTGCCTCCAACCAGAGTCTGCAGGGACGGCAGAGCGGAGCGACTTAGCTGCTGTCTGCTGGGACCCCTGCGACCTCCTGGCATGGTCGCCAGTTACCGTGGCAACCACGGACGGCGCCCACCAACCAAAAGCCTCTGGGACTCCTTCCCTTCTCCTCAACAAGCCACCATGTACAGCCAGGCCTCTGTGGAGCAAACCGACAAACAGGACAAAGTTTTAACAAGTAACAGTAAACAGAATCTTAAAAAACAAAAAAAACAAAACATAACTCTGGTAGAGTCGAGAACCAACAAATGTGAGGTCTAATCAACATCCCGATCAGCAACATCCTGTAGCCAGATAAAGTACAATTAAAGGATAGATTTGTTCTAAGGTATTTACTTCTCTGTGCACATGATGAGTAAACAGTAGTGAAGGTAATTAAGGAAAGATTATTGAAGAACTGTACAGAAGCTCTGGTTAATCAATGAGCTGATTCTCAGTTCTTTTTATTTGTTCCCTTTACTGATTTTATTTATTTAACATCCCCACCTGTTTTCTTAATCTACTAGCATAATGACAAACCGCTACATGGAAGGGAAAACTACTTGTGCTGTGGATTCCAGAATATTTTGCTTTGGGGCATCTTCAAAAATAGATGTGTTTGACCTTTTTATGCTTTTCTTTTTACCCATTTTACTATGAAGGAGTGTGACTCACTCTAATGGTACATTCTTACAGTATTTGTAATAATTGTCATATTCAACTTTGCAACTTGAACAAACTAAACTTCAGGTTAGCTGCCTGCAATACCAAACATTTTACACTTGTTCTTAAAAAGCAACCGTGATCTGTTATCAGCATGACAATCTGTCACATATTAAAACACATTTTATTAGATAAACCAAGACTAATTTGTGATGTTTAGTGTATTTTCTGGATTGAGTATGTAAAAATGACACACCTTTGCTGGTCCTCTTAGCCATCTATACACGAGGGACTGGTATTTTTTGGGTGCTGTACTGTTTGCTGGGCAAAACGAAAAAGCTTTTGTTCAAATTGTTTAAGAGAGGTGTCAGATGTGATTGTTTTAAGGGTAGTTTATAGCTGCTCTTTATGTTGGAGTCTAATACAACAAAAAAAGACACCACACACCACCCTGTATGATGCAGTAAAAGCTCCAGCACAAACTACAGCCTCTAAAATGACTTTGTTTGCTCAACACTTCTTTTGAACATAAACTTAACATTCTAACCTTCATGAAGGTTGGATTTATTGCAGTACTGTTGAAGTAGACTGCATTAGCTTAAGCTAAGTGCACCAAATAATCTGGTATAGCAGGCTGAATGAGGTAATTAGCCATCTCCTGATGATGTCACATCATAGAAATAGTTTCTCATATTGTCACTGCTACTAGATCAGACAACCATCCCAAAGGCTTGCTGGTGGCAACACTCCTGGTTTCTGTCAAACCACTGCTTAGCAATGCAAACAGAGCCATCACCAATCTACAACTACCCAGAGAATCAAACCTGCTCATATGCACGTCTACTTCCTTAAGCTCATGCTGGGAAACAGTCGCCTTGGGGTGTTTGCAGAGGCAAATCTAAATCCTCTATCTAAAACAAGTCTTCACGTTTTCATTCAACTGTTGACACATCTTTGAAGCCAAAGCTGTCAGCAGATTATTAAATACTGAAACTACGATCCCATCTGCCCGAACATCTTCTCAACTCCCAGCCTACAAGAACAAATGTATTTGCATGATTTCTAAATGCTAATAATAGGCAGAGAAGCACAGATGTATCTAATAACGCTGATGATGACTCATCTTCATTTTAGACATGCCAGTGAGCCAGCAGGAACAATACTCTGAAGCAACGAGATGAAATGCAGTCATAGTTCTGTTTGTTACTGGTTACACCTGAGCTTCTCCAGCTTGGACGTCAGATAATCTGCTGACACAAACACCAATCAGCTGTCAGTCTGTGTCACAGCGACATCTGAAAACTTATAGTCCCGAGATGCAAAATGTACTTATAAAGATGACGACTGAATATTTGTCTGGTAACTTTACATCACTTTGTTAGTTTTTACAACAAACATATATGCTTTATTCAAGTTGTTTTTTTGTTTTGCTTTGTTTTAAATTAAGGCACTCCGTCGTTCAACGGCACAACTGGTATCAACCGAATAAGTGGCTGACTGAAAAAATGAAGTGGCGACTATTTTGATCATCAGTGTAGATAATTTACTAACTCAAAATGACTAAACCCAGTTCCAAATTCTGAACTTTTGATTCCTTATTCGGGTTCATTGTCACTGTAAGATGAATGTTTCAAGGTTTTAAGCTTGTTCGGAAAAAAAGAAAGCACTATGACACCATTTCAAACTTTTGAAACTTGTGGGCTTTTCTCAAGATTTTCTGATACTTAATTGAGCATATAATCACTGAATTAAAGAGAGTAAATGGCAGATGAATTGACAATAATCATTAGGTGTAGCCAAATTACGTTTAAAGCTATAGTGCTTCTTTACTTAACCTGGACAAGATCTAAATGAAAAAGAATTATATCGTTAAGTCCTGTCATTAATATATGACATCTAACATGTATGTAGATTTTTGCATCCAGATTTTTTTTAAAGTTAATGCTCATGACAAATTGATTTATTGCAACTAGGACTTTAAAATATATGAAATTGTACAAGTAGAAGGTCTTGTGCAAACATCCCGATGTTGAGTTGAAAGAATAAGTCACAAAAATAATTCCAAACTACAAAAACCAAAAGGAAATTCAGAGACAGATATTTTGGTCATATAAATAATTCTTTAGATAAATTTCTAACTTAACTTAATTTCCAATCAGTTCCAACTTCTCAAATATGACAATTTGCTGCTGTTCTATGGTAGTAAAGCAAAAATATTTGAGGATTTTAACACAAAACAAGATATTTGAAAACACACCACCTTAACTCAGGAGAGTTGTGCACATTTTTACTACTTTTCTGATATTTTATCACTTCTTAAATGAATTAACTGTATTTAAGTTAAAGTGCTATAAATGACCTTACAGGAAAATGACTGCTCATTAAATTCTGAAACTAATCACCAGATTAATCTACATTAAAATTTATTGTGTTTTGATACTGAAACACAAGCAAAGTCAATGAAGTCTTATCCAAGCAGGTGCGATTGTAATTGAGTTGCATATTTAAGGACAATTTGTCATCTTATCATAATCAGTGACTTAAAAACACAAGTCCTGCACCTTCTTTTAAATCAGCCAGTAACAGGCACTAAACACAAATTAAAGCCAGATAACATCCAGTCTCTGAGCTGTATCAACGTTTCCTTTATGTCGCTGCACCTTATGAAGCTTGATGGAGATGATAATACAGCAGGCTCAGAAGCCAGTGTGTAGATGCAATATTAAACAATATTAGAGCTGAGTCTACAAACAGGAAACAGACGTTAACTACACTCACACAGAGACACGCACCACAAGGGAGCGAAATTACAGTTAAGAATCAAAAGTGAAAACAGGAACTGCAGGCTGCAGAAATTATCTACAATGGAGGGATTGCAGGATGGTGTTTTGCAATTTAGTGGAAGTGCAACACGTTTGTAGTTTTCAACATCAATTTAAAGGTGTGCGTAAACGAAGTCGCTCGTGTTTCTCTGAGGAACGTTTTGTCAGGAGGTGTCTTTTGGGCAGGGACTTGCTAAGACATGCACTAAAGCTGCCTGTGTGAATCATGACATCAGGCAGCGTTGTCATTTTTACACTGCGGAAACTTGGGCGCACACTTTAAAGGGGGCGTCAAAAGCAGAAAGGTGTAAGCGTGTAGCTCGCTGCTAACCCGCACAATCAAACCTGGGTAGTTTAAAAAGCTGCTTAAAGCCGTCGTTACTCACACAACATCGACAACATGCGGGGGGCTGAACTGAACGAGGATGCATCAGTCAGTTGTGTGACGAGTCCAGACAGCACCGAGCATTTTTCCGCCTTCCAGCTTCAATTTCCCCGACTGGACTGATGTAGCGAAGAGCTACGACGGCACCGGCGATGCTGGGGGGTCGCTTTCCCTCCGGCCGAAGACGTAAAACGGCTATAAAAGTTAGCCCAGGGCTGGAGGAGCAACAGTGTAAATGCGTTGCACAGAGACCGACGTGGCAAACCTGAACCGCCTCTCCTCGTGTCGTCATCAGTGCGCGACTCAAATAGGTCCGCTCTGCACAGTCGCAGTTTGACCAAACAAGCTGCTGGTCGGAAGTCAGCGAAGGAACTCAGATTGTTTATATTATTCCAGTTTAGTTGCTTTTAGTAGAGTGTTTCAGGGAGCAGTTTACCAAATGGCCTGGTATACTTTTCTTTTTTTTGGTTTAACCAATGTACTGCTGTACTGGAACGTTTGCACACCTAAATCTACTCCTGTTAGGATCAAAATATTCAGTTCAGCCCTGAAAATAACCAAACTATAGGTTTTTTGGGCAAAACAAATTAACTGCACATTCAAAACTGAATGGAGAACATAGACCCTTTGGCATCATATCTTACAATTAAAAATATGCCATAGTAATGTTAGATCCGGTTCTTTAGTTGGAAGCCCAAGAACAAGCCGGAGAAATCTTCAGTTCTCAGATGCAGAATTTATTTAGGTCACAGGTAAAGTTTTGCAGCGCTGGAATTCAGAGGGACAGAGAGGAATCTCATGTCCAGCTGAACTGAGTGTTTTCGGTTCCAAGTTACAGATATCTTCTTGGGCTGGGCCTGCCCCGAACATAGATAAGATTTAGTTGGCCAGTTACTAGTGGTGTGGACAGGCATCCTTCTGTGCTCTGTCCACGTCCTTGATATTTGGTAAGCAATGTGTGTGGATGTTGTTGGTGCGGCGTGTAGCTAAAGTAACAATCGTATCAAAGAGAAAAGAGGAGTTTCCGCTATCTCCAAGTGTGCAAACCAGTTCTCACTGGCCACATTATTTTCAAGGACATAAGCTCAGTACAAAATGCAAACTCAGAATACATAATAACTTGAAACTTAACTGATTATAAGAGCCATAGGCTTCATGGAAAAATACAGACTCAGAACACATAATAGCTTGAATCATACTTAATTATAACAGTAATGTGTGCATTTGGGGGGAAAAATCTTTAAAATGCTCAAGATCTGTATAACAGCTGGGAAAAGAGCATGAGTTTGAGATTAACCTAATTCACCAACTTTTTTGTGTTTTACAGAGATTAAAAATCAGTTTTGATGCTCTAACATGTGAAATATATACAGCAAATCTAGTCTCAAGCCAAGTAAATGAATGGTAAGTTGTCTAATTTAGCACAGTAGCTGCTTACTTTAGTGGATTATACATATAATATTATGGATGTCAAGGTAATATGCAGCTCGAGATCATTGCCTCACAAGTCAGTAGCAAGTGTCTCTATTATTTACATTACATAGTGCTATACATCTGCGAGCACAGAGTGACTGAGGTTTGGGTGATGCTGCTTGTGGAATGTATTCCATGCTTCCTGAAGTGTTTGGCAAATTTAACAGACATTTTGGGGAACAGTATTGTGTTGTTGGACACGTCAATCCAGAACATCATTTAGTTGTCTTGCTGCACCATGCAGTCTGAAATAATCTTGTGGATTAACTCAATGGTCAGAAGGTTGGTCTGAAAAACTTTTAATCTCCAACAAAACTCCATCCTAATAATTTCACAGTCATGCAATTAATTCTGATTTATAAAAGATTTAATGTTTAGTTTGTCTTTGAGCAGAGTATTTGTGATCTCACAAGAATCCAACCGAACAAGGCAACAATGTAAGTTTTTATCAAAGGGGAAGTATTTCTTACATTTAGTCAAGACTCTCTATTTTAAACTGAGAGAAAATCAGAACATAAGGGGGTCATAACACAACAACTCTGGACAAAACTCAATGAAACAAACAAACAAAAAAAAATCCTTAACTCCATCAAAATATGAAACAAAATGTTTCACAAAATACTAGAAATCTGAAAACACATTAAAAATAAAATACAGCAAAACAAAAAAACACAACAGTAAACAACTTTCAGGGTTTTCTAACAAATAATGGATTATAATGTACGGAAACATAATATGCTCTACCCCTGTTATTTAGCCTCTTTTACATAAACTGTACTTACCTCTGTTTTGTTTTCGTTTTCTTATGCTTTGGGTCTTGTTGGAAATGTGTTACTCTTCACAATATTGTTGACTATTGTTGTGTCAGGCTAACTGTGTTTGGACAACTTAAAAAACAACAACAACAAAAAAACTTCTATTAAGACAAAGTTCAAAGAGGAAAAAAACACCAAAAAGCTTTTTTTTTTTTTTTTTTTTAATTTATTTTACACCCAAAAGGTACAATTTTAATATTATTAATAACACAAACTGACTGTACATTAGAAATTCAGAGGAAAAAAAATCATTAAAAACAGTGGAAGAGACAAAAAAGCTTTTTTTTTTTTTTTTTTTAAATTTATTTTACACCCAAAAGGTACAATTTTAATATTATTAATAACACAAACTGACTGTACATTAGAAATTCAGAGGAAAAAAAATCATTAAAAACAGTGGAAGAGTCAAAAATGTTTTAGGTCAATGTGCATTTCTGAAATATACTATGAAAAGATAAGTTTCTGAAACTGCACTGAAAATATTTTACATTTTCATAACGTGCTAGGATTTGTGTGTGTGTATATATATATATATATATAGAGAGAGAGAGAGAGAGAGATATATATATAAACTACATTTTTGCCTGTAACATTCTTTATATCATTTTATTTCCTACATCAACACCATGTAAATGACTCATTTACACATAGTATTTACAGCTATTGATAAACACTATGTGCAAATGCATAATTCATCTTCAAGGTTTATAGCTTTTTCTAAACAGTGGATCACAGTACACACTTTCCTTCAAAACATTATAAAAACCTAATCCAGCATAATCACTTCAAGATGTACAGGAGATGTGAAAAATAGCAACATATCTACAAAAGTGATAAAAAGCTAAAATCTAATTGCAGCATTCACGTGGGTCTTTTCATATATAATGATTTAATGTAACAACAACTGTAAGTTATTTACTGGTCCTGAGAGTTAATTCTTCATGGTTATTGTTTGATGGCTTTATCACGTTATCAACATCACAAGACTTAACTGCTGCTACCAAATAAATAGAGCTTCACAAGGACAAACATCCCGCCTAAAACCACATAAAAGTAATGTAACTGGAGACTTTTAGGATAACACTTCCCTCTAGTGGTTTGTCAGTGTTAGTATTATGCAGAGTTCTGAACTACAGTTTGCTCAGTGCTCATAGTAAAGACTTGTGGTTTTCTTAAAACAACACCTTCAAAAAAAAACAAAAAAAACTATAGTCTCTTTTATATGTGTTTTTTGCTTTACCAACTGCAAACTTTGAGAGGTATAATTATTCCAAATTTCTGAATCTCTTAATCTCACATTTTGTGAATCCTTCTGTGAGCTTTTCACTTGTGAAAACGTAGTAAAAAAGCTGGTGCATTATTCATGTTAATATTTAAAAATGGCAGCCCTTATAGGTTTACCAGTAGCCAGACAACAAGGCTAGTAAGTTGTGCATGTTCTCTGAAACAGAGGTCACAGTGCAGGTGGAGGGTTCAGATGACGACGCTGGTGCCACCGCGAGAACTCCGGTCCTGAGAGAGACACACTAACTTTAGATTCACTTCACTAGAAATCAGCGCAACTTAGATTTTTAAAAAACAGATTAAAAAATGTTTTTTTAAAAGTGATTTGGAGAATGTGTGTGTTTGACATGATCTAAGTGCATCACCAATGATGTGTGTCCAAACTGTCTAAAGCAGTGATTTTCTTACAGAGTAGCGTTCATTCCTCCGTGTTCCTGGTTTCTGTCCAGGCTCGTACTCTGAGTAGCTGGGAGGTTTGTCAACCCAGCCTCCACCTCCTCTCCTCCCTCCTCCTCCTCCTCTCCTGCTGCTGCCCTCATCATCCGAGCTCCAGGATCCTCTTCTCGACTGGTTTCCTCTGGACCTGCTGTCGAACAAGTCATCCCTGGAGCGGGAACGAGGGCGGTCTGCACTTCCTCGTGCCCTGCTGCGACCCCTCCCGTCCAGCGACTCCTCGCTGTAGCTCCGGGGGAGCCCTCTGGATCTGGGAGGTGAGGGGTAACGCCTCCCCGATGAGCCTCCTCTCTCATCATGGCGGCCAAAGCCACTGCGGCTGCTCTCGCTGGAGCTCGGCGGGCGAGTCTTGGGTGCCGGAGGTGGAATTCTGCCCGGCTGCTGTTCCCTTATTGGTGGAAGTGTGATGACACGACGCTCCATCGGGCCGTCGTCGAGGGCAGAGATCATGCTGGGAGGGCCGGGGGAGAACGGGACGTTGACGGGAATGTGCTGGACAGGAGGTGGCATCTGCTGCATGTGAGGGGGTGGAGGTGGCTGGGACTAATGGGAAAAAGAAGATGACAAAAGTACAGTAAACTTACCTAAATACCACTGTTGTTTATGACATATCATGAAGCAGTCATTTAAAAAACAAAATGTTCTTACTAGCATCTTTACTAGTCTGTGGGGTACATTTTTTCAGATGATGACATTTCAGTGACATTTACAAACATAAGGGCTGTGCACCAACCCCACACTACAACTACACTATGTACTGCTTTGTCAGTTGTAACACAAGAAGTGTTTCAAATGGTAGCTGTTGCCCTAACGGATGTCATCACTCTCCACCGCTTTGGCAAATTTCAGGTGTAGAAAAGCAGAGAAAATATTCTCCTCCAAATATTTCCCTCCCAGTGGTTTATAGCTACTTCAGCTGAAATAAAGAACATTATCATAAGCTGTTATGTGCTACTAAAATAAAACATGAACCTTTATGCCTCAGGATCTTGGTTGCGTACTGCATCAAACCTGTCTTCAATTAGTTTGATTGTTTTAGCTATTTTTTATTATTAACTCAGTCGTACATTGTAAGGGAGCCAGTATACTGTCAAATGATCAGTTTTCTGAAACGGACAGTTCACAAAGCTGTGATTGATCAACTGTGATATGAGAGATGATCCACAACTGGACTGAATCTTCCGAGCTGTTTTTTTTTTTTTTTTTTATCCCTGCTTTGAAGTTGAAAAAGAAAAATAGCTACGCCAGAATGTTGTTTATTGATTACAGCTCTTCTTTCAGGCCAAGTAAGGTTCACCCCAAAAGTCTGTGAGGTTGTTTTTTTTTTTTTTTTTTCTTGAGTTTTTTTTTTTTTTTTTTTTTGCATTCGTCAGTCACCAAACTATTTCTTTCACTTTTCAAATAAACAACTGGAGTATAATACTATGAGTGCCAGCTTGCTGTTCACTCTGGCTTCAAGTGTAGCTGCTTGGAACAAATACTGTCTGAACACTGCTGATTGTTGCTACAATCAGACAAAATGTCTCATAAACAACTTCTGACTGAGTATAAAGTAACTCTAGCTATATCATGACTTCTACCAGCCACCAAATATCTGGTTTTACCTGCTGCCTTCAATGATTTAACACAAAAAAAACACACAATATTATGTTTTCACTCGATTCTCTTAAGTCCCAAAGGTCACAATCCTCATCTTTTTGTACTCCAATTACACAATTTAGCAGTCCCACTGGAAAAACTGCATAAGTGACCTCCAAATAGATGCTAAGATAGCACAGCAAAGTAAACAGGAATGGTGGGTTTACATGTAAACAACCACAACATGACAAAATGCTCCTCTATTTACATAAAAAACATTTGATGACATACCTGTAGCAGAGGACTGTTCACGTCCATCCCTCTCACCTGGTTCTCCAGGTAATCAAGCATGTGATTGGTGTTGGCGGGGGTGTGGTTACCGTGGACACTGGGAGGGGGCATGCTGTAAGCTGAAGACTGAGGAGGAGGGAGGGGCATTGGCTTCAAAGGGACGCTCTTCCCTGAAACTGATCCTGAAGAGACAAAAACAGTCGCACAAAGAAGTCGGTCGATACAAATTTAGAGACCTCCTATAGACACAGTACAGCTATGGCCATTAGCAGACTTGCTTCGGGTTTATGTGTGCGTTACCTGCATAGAGCAGTGGGTTCATCTGGGAGGAAGCGTGGGTCATTGGTGCATACAGCGGCTGTCCTCCCATCCAGGGAGCCATGGCCCTCTGAGCCTCCTTCATCATACGATGCTGCATCACCGCTGAAAGATGAGGACAATACACGCTTTAATATTTATCAATACAGGAAGGTCTTCTTAAAGTAGGCTGCTGATCTGCACTCAGTAAAGGAGGCCTTCTTTAAGCATCAGCTAAAATTTAAAATGCAACTTAATACAGAACAAAGCCTGCATAAGGGATCTTTTCACCAGTATTGACTCTTTTAATGCACATGCAGGCATGTGGGCGTTGTTTTGAGACTCATCCTTCACATTTTCATTTCCAAGTTGCCTTATTGTTTGCTTCTGGCATTTCTTGTAACAAAGGCTGTGAATGTGACGCCTTCATGCAGCCCACAAAGCACCAGCGAGTACAGTTTGCTCTGTCGTCCTTGTGTTTTTACCTTTTTCAGGACAGCAGCACTGCTGTGGGCAGCAGGGACAGCGAACGTAGCAGCAGCATCTCTGAGGGCAGCACTGGCAGCAGCAGATACAGAAGAGCATGATGAGAAGGAGGGCGCCGATGATGATGAACAACACTGTTAGCCAATCTGGGAGAGAACAGAGAGAGAGAGATGGTCAGTGTGCTGTGATCTATGAATCATTCACAGCTACTTCTGTATGTTCTGATGTTAAATATACACTCATGATGCTGTTATTTAGACCTATAATCCTCCACACATCTGAGTTTAAAGTTACAGTTCAATCATAATACTACGTAACAGATTTTTGTTCTGTTTCTTACGGTAGACAATGAGTTTGACTTCTTTGTCATTGTCTCCGGTCGTGTCTCCAGGAGCTTCAACAGCACAAAAGTAGACTCCGTTGTCCCACCACATCACCTCATTGATCACCAGGTCTGCCTCTGTACAAACACACCAACGCACACAGGTGCCATCATTGAAACAGTGGTCAAGTTACCTTTGTAGCAAATTTTAAACAATAAATATGTTGCCTTGTACTCAGCTACAAATCTACACTGGGACTGATGTTTGTGCTGCAGCCTTTTTGTCTTTCAGAAACAATGTTGCTAATCTTCACACCGAGCAAGTGCAATCTTTAAAAGATTTTTAAATACTACCACTGACTTTCATTAGCAGTACATTTGTCAAATATTTTCTCAAATATTGTTCAACTGTTTGGTTGTTCCATAAAATGTATTTTGGCAGAGCCCATAGTGACAACAGTTCAAATTCACAACACAAAAACACACTCACACACAGAGGCCTACAAAACTATAAAACTTTAATAACTGAGAATATTAAATAGATATTAAAGTAATATTCTCTCAATGGACTAATCTGTTAATCTACTGGCTATGTTAGCCTGACTAAAAAGTATGAATAGACAAACTAATTAAAAAATGAGTAAAAGAATGATCAACAAGGACAGTAACAGTTCCGTTCTTCTTCAAATGAAATCACACTCACTGTTTTGGATGGAAATCCTGCGTTCCCGGTATTCTGCTCCCAGTATCGGCTCGCTGCTTCCTCTCTTCTGGACTACAGTTCGAACTGTCCGCTGACGGTCTGGACAGTCGTTTGATGGATCCTGTCCTAACTGCAGTGCAGACTGGTATGCTGTAAAACCAGGAGAAAGCTTTTTATTAAAGCGAGAAATGACAGATGTGTTCTACTACTTAGTATTTTAGGCTGTGAGAGCAGGGGACAGGAATCGAAGTAATTCCCAAACCTTTATTCTTTGTTCTGTTCCTGACAAAGTCTGACATGATGCATAAATAGGTCTGTCAGTGAGTCCAATACTGATACATCTTAACAACTGAGCGATGGACTGAGATTAAGTTGTGTGCAAACATTCAAGATCACAAAAGTATGTGTTGTGTCTTATTTTTTTTATTTTGTTTCATACTTTGTTTTAATGAAATATCTGTCAATCCTATTTCCAAATCTTAACATGTGACCATAAATTGTGTCAGTATGAAGTTCAAAGTTCTCATAGCGCTGCCAGCATGTCTTTATAATCTTAAACCCATTGCAAGTACATCAAAATGTTGCAATTAAACCAAACCAAACAGCTATACATCAGCCTTTATCCTCCATGCAAATACATATAGAGCTTTTTCAACAAGTCCCTTCGCCGTGTATGTTTTTCTTGGTGGTCAAATACACAAGAAATGTGTGAAGTAAAAGGGAGCGTGCATACTCATTGTGTCTATGCTAAAATGACTAGTTTGAGAATTAAGAATTAGAACAAGAAATATAGAAAGTAAAAATCCAAAGACAAAAATATATTGTGTTTAAAACTCATATTTGTCACAACTTTTAGACCAACTATATGATAAATTTTGCACACATCCAACCACAAATGTACAGTGAGCTTGACAAAGCTGAGTAAATACACAGCACAGAGGTCGGAGGAGGGAATTCAGCATCCTTGTGACTTGAGAGACGAGACTTTTCCTTCTAAATCGTATTGTGTTTGACTTATGGCTTCAAGCTGGAACAGTTTTTTTTTTAATTACACGTTATTTCTTTTTTGTTCACAAATTCTTCCTTCATCATCACCAACCAGATGTTTCAAACTGGCAAGAGGATAGTCGGAGCTGCAAAAATAACACCCATCTCAATTTGTAGTAACTTGAATAATTTGGATATTAAGTCTTTAGGTTGATGACGTTTTGGAGGTTTTTCATTCCAGCAATAACCTACACACATGTATCGAACACAATGTCTTTTCTTTAGCAAGTCAGGCTTTTCCCTGCCTTCTCCAATTCAGGTCAAAAGTACAGCTTAGAGAGAATTCCAAAAGTAGTTGAGGCTTTCCACTGCAAATTCACCAGCCTCTCTGAGGCAGAGAGCAACATTTTTCTCTCCCCGCTGTGTGAGTTATCTCATACCAGTGGAGTAGTACTCCAGGACCGGGTCCTTGCAGAAGGACTTGAACCTCCAGGTGACGAGAACATCTTGGAGGTTTGCAGAGGTGGAGAAGTCGCAGCGGAGGATCACTGAGGCGAACAGAGCTGTGCTGCGCTCCTGCTGAGGAACAATCACCTGAATACACAGCGACACTGAGGACAGACAAAACAAACGGTTACATACAGTCCGAGGGGGGAAACAACTGAAATACAAATTTAAGGTACTTATACTTAAGTGTTTTCATTTTACACAACTGTACACTGCCTTCCCACTACAGTTCAGCATTTAAATCTTACTTCCTGCTCCACTATTTTTGAGAAGCTTAGCTACTTTAAAAATGGAAATTTTACACAGTAGGTAAAAAAAAACAACACATTGATAAAGATTAAAACTTTTTGCCACCTTTTTGTCCTCTGATATCCCACAAAAAGCAGTGTAGAGTCAGAGTAACATTTCTGACTTTATAAAATTGCTACCAGCACCATCAAATAGTGTTTTTTTCCCCCTTTAAACCTCTCACATGGTTTCATTTCAATAAATGGGAGTTGGGCAAGAGAGAAAGTCCAGACCCTGTTCCTGGATATTAAACTGTATATGCAATAGTTTAAAGTAGCTCCATCTGCAGCAGCTGTTGTTGCTGACACACTGACGCTTCACTATAAATAATACAGTAACTTAATATATAACAACATATGAACCAGTGAGATTATTTGAAGACCGTATATTGCTGCTAATACTTTTGTACTTCTACTTAAGTAGGATTTCTCTTTCACACTCCTGTATTGGTGTTTTACATATGCAAAGAATCTGAATTCATCGTCCACCACTTCACACGGCAGTTGTGTATTTGTGTGTGTGCTTGGGGGGATGAAACTACCTCATTTGTCCAAAAAAAAAAAAAGAAGATGCAAACAATTGAGAGAAACATGGTTCATTTATTGCCACAAGTCCAGGAAGAAGAGTGCGGCAGGTATGCAGCAATGTATGTGAGGGCTTCTGTTAACCAAGGCGTTCTTTCAAAGTGGCAGAACCAGAAAAACAGGTGCCACAAACAAAGACACAGGAAACAGCTTACTGTGAAACTACCAGCCAAAACACTGAAATGGTAGAGTGAAACCTGTTGAGTTGATCTCAACATGGACAGGTCACAGTGACCATCTTAACCCGACTGGAAAAAAATAATAAAATAAACCATTTGTTATACAGTTTGAAAACATTTCTGGATCACCTTCAACATAGAAGTATAGGTACCCACATTTTTTACATGTTTTTTTTTTATAAAAAGGAATTTAATTAATTCATGAATTCCTAAAGAGACCTTAATTTGTTTAATTATAATAGATTTGAAGGCAGCAATTAGGTTCTGAAACAAGAGATGCTCTTTGTTTCCAGTAAGGAGAAAGTCATGTGATCGATACCTCCGCTTCCACGAGACATTCTAAAAGGCATTCAGCCCCAAAACAAGCTAAGTGGGCCTGTTTTCAACAGACAAGAGACCAGTATGTAAAGAAATGGAAATTACCTTTTAGAAGCGACAGCAGGAGGACTGCTGCTGTGAGTCTCCTCATGATGAGCGAACACCGCAAAAACACAGCGGATAAAAAGCCCAGCAGGCAAAGGTCAACAGTTAAAAAAAAACAAACAAACAAAAACAAATAAATAAGAAATTAAAGTAAAAAAAGAAGCTCAAATGATTTGACTAAACTTGAACCCGGACCGAAGCGAAACCATTCATTGTTTCACGCGCTCGCCTGAAGAGTCTCTTATGTGCTGCTGTTGGGAGACAGAGCTGCTCTGAGGCCACGCCCCCCGAAACAGGTGAGCTCATCCGCAGCCGTGACGTAGACAGGTGGACAGAAAGCCCCACACAGCAGCACGCGACAGGACTGGAGCTCAGCAGCACATCAGTACAATGCTACACGTTGTCTTCACTGGGTTGTTGATTTTTCTTGGGTTGAATTCAAATTTTAACACTGTGATGTTTTTAGAAATTCTCGCTTGTGTGTTTTGGAGCCACAACAGGGGCAGTGAAGTTTGTCAATGAAAATAAATTTGGCATTTGGTATTGAAAAGAAAACACTGGGGTAAAAATATAGTTGGAATAAATAACTCAGCTCTGAAAAAAGTTTCACCGAAAAATAAAACATAGACATTCACAGTTATCTCATTTTATTTTATTTTTGTATTTAAATGTGAGCATCAAAGATAGTTTTTTCTTTTTTTGATGTTCAACTGTGTTTTAACAGCCTTTTTTTTTAAAAACTATGTACATTTATTTTTTTTCAAATAGTTTTTCAAATTTTAAAAAAAGTATTTATTTTTTATGATGTCATTATTCTTCTCAAAATGCCAAATTTCTAATTTCAACATCAAATTCTATTTTCAAAGACTATAATGTGGGCTGCAAGGTGACTGGGTGGTTAGCACCATTGCCTCATAGCAAGAAGGTCCCCGGTTCACATCCCAGTGAGGACACCCAGAATCTTTCTGCGTGGAGTTTGCATGTTCTCCCCGTGCAGCGTGGGTTTTCTCAAGGTTCTCTGGCTTCCTCCCACACAGTCCAAAAACATGTTGAGGTTAATGGTGATTCTACATTGTTCGTAGGTGTGAATGTGAGTGTGCTTGGTTGTCTGTCCCTGCAAAAGACTGGTGAACCGTCCAGGGTGTCCCCTGCCTTCGCCCTAAGTCAGCTGGGATAGAATCCAGCCCCCCGTGACCCAGGTGAGGGTTAAGCAGTGTATAGATAATGGATGGATGGATGGAGCTATAATGTCTCTGTTTTGGCCACAGATAGCCAGTTGGCCAGTTCAGTGTTCCAGATGGTCCTGAGGTAATCTAGATTTTGGTCCATAAGTTTGTCTTCACTGATTAATCCTTCATGACTTTACACAAGTCTTTCATAATAATCCTTCATGACTTTACACAAGTCTTTCATAATAATAATAATATTTTTATTTTTACAGTGTCTTTCCTGGATCCTCTAGAATAAGTTACTTGGCGCTCAAAGCTCCACAAACAAGAACTCAAACAATTTTGCAAAACTAATCATAACAAATCAAGTGATAGTGCAAAGATTTAGGAGACATCTGGAGGTCTGGGGCCTTGACCCTGACATTCAGCCTTGTGTACATACAGCATTATCAGAACTTGACATTATTTTAGAAAAACACACACAAGATCAACTTCTACACTCATGTTATTCACTGAGATGATCTTCTTTATTGTTAATGGTTCGTATCATTGAGATCGTCACTACAGCTTCAGCTAATTCCTGATAGGATGAAAAATGCATCAGCATGTATCAGCAGATGGCAGTAAATTTCCAGTCTTCAGTATTTCTGAATAATAACAATAATTTCTATTACTGAATTTCCCTTCTGGGATAAATAAAGTATTTTTTATTTCATTCATTTCACTTGTGTACAATCATACAAGGTATTTTTTTTATGATACACAAAGTCATGCACAACATAAATATATATTTAAAAAATGCCTCAAAGACAACATGTGTGTAGACATAATACAAATCTATCAATGCACTCTAGATATATAATTTATTAACTAAAAATTGATGCGTTATGGACATATTAATTCTCACAAAACTCCACTGCCAATACAGAACCGTCCTCCTGAAATCTGACTGAGATGACCTAATAAAAAAGATGATCTTAAGTAGCACAAATCAAGAAAACACTGACACAATAAAATCCCAGACTTTTTTCCACTTTGCTCGTGGATGTAAAGACGGCAGTAACATATATTGTAAAACTTATGCATGCATTACTCTAGTTCTGCTCCATCGCTATTGTTTTTCTAACAACAGGCTTATTTATTTATGTACAGTAACCCTGGATTTTTACATTCATGCACACTCATCTGCATAACCTCAATTAATTAAAATTGTAGAACTTTAATTAACATTACAGTTAAATGCTAATGACATATGTTTAGCAAGAAATAATTTTACACCTTAAAAGTTTGGCACGCTTAGAGACATTACACCACAGCACGACAAACAAGCAGACAGATTCCAAATCAAACATCATGCTGTAGTTTAAAGTATTTTAAAGCCCAAGTGGCTTCTAAATCATAAAAAACAATACACATTTTGAGCATTGGTTTTAGTTCCCTGGACAAAATTTTATCCCAAATACAAACACTGACATTACACGGCATTAATTTAGTGGATTATTTTCCCCACAATTACTTACAATTAACTAAAAATGAAAATGCATCCTTTAAATGTAACTGGAAGCATTAACATTACAGCAGTACAAGTACAAATGTTGGTTTGTGCATATTTGGTCAGATGCCAGTGTGCATTAATGGTCAACTCCCTCATTAATTTTAGCTTGTGACCACGGTTCTTCTATTCAGTGCAGCTTCCCTTTTATTATTTTTATTTTATTGCAGTTTGTGCACAATGCATTGGGCCTCTCTGTATCTGTTAGGAATGTTGTTTCTATAACTTTCATGTTGATATACTTCTTATGAGGTTGAAGTCATTTTTTGTTCATTTTTCTTGTGAAAGCTTTTAGAATTATGTGTTTTACTCCCAAAATATGTAAATAAACCCCACTGTCTAGACATACAACTGAACCCCAGTACAATCTTTATGCATTCATAAACCCTCTGTTCTATGCTGTCGTGTTCTGCATGCTTCTTGTGGGTGTGGCTGCTGTTTTCTCTCTCCTGTGCTCCTCAGGTAACACCCATCCTCCTCTGCTCGGCTGCTTCCTTCTGTTCAGTTATTGAGCTTATTCAATGCAGTTAACCATTAAAATTAAAGTGAATGTGATCGTAAAGCCTCAGAGCCAACTATAACTCAGCAGCAGCGGTCTCCTGCTGAGAGGGACGGTCCTGGTTAAACTTCTTTTGGTTGACAATGAGTCTGACTTCTTTGTCACTGTCTCCTGTGGTGTCTCCAGCAGCATCCACAGCGCAGAAGTACATCCCACTGTCTGTGGACATCACATCAGCGATCACCAGGTCTGCCCCTGTACAAACACACAGACACTTGTTATTTAATACACTGCATGAGTCAACACTGTGGATAAGATGTTGTGACTTTTAAGGTGCACTGTGTTTTTCCTTCAGAGCTAATTAGGATCAGGAGCTACTTTTGAACCAGTTTGGAGTGTCACTCATGTGTATCTTCTGTATTATACTTTCAACTATTTTTTAAAACCACCATGTCCGCGCTGTAATCAGATGGGAATCTTTTACTCATATTAAAACACAACTTGTCAGATGAGACAGTTCACTTGTTCCCAGAAAGAATCATACAATTTATTTTAACCACAATAGGACAGTAACTGCACACTGATTTTTTTCATGTCTGCCCATTTAAAGGTCTGTGACTCTGCAACACTAGCAGTCAAGATCAGGTGGTTTTGTTTCCATTTGCTTTGAGGCCCAACATATAAAAGGTGCCCTGACATTTACAGTATATAATTTCTTTTGTTAGAAAAAGAAGATCAGTTTATATTTGTGCTGTAGTCAGCAGCCAGATCACTTAGTTTAGGCCTGGTAGCAGCCAAACATTACACAATCCACACACCAGCATTTGGTAGACTTAATCCGTATAAAAAACAAACAAACAAAAAAAACAAGTCAGAGTTTTACAGGAGGAATGTGTGCTGAATTTTGTGTGCAGCTTTTTGTTTTCAGCTAGCATGTCTGTCTTTCTATCTAGCACTCAGCAAAAAGAAGTGGTATATTTATTGATTCTATCTCAAGCTCAGCACAGTTTTGTCTCGAGCTACAAAGGTTGTAGCAAATGCAAGTAATTGCATAAACTCACTATTTTGGATGATGATGTTGCGCCCATAGTACTGTACTCCAAGTTGCGGCTCGCTGGTTCCAATCCTCTGGATCACAATGTGTGATGACTGCTGTTCATCGTCACAGTTCTTTAATATGTCCTGTGTTAAATATGGTGCAGGCTGGTTGGCTGCAAAACCAAAAGGCACAATTTTTTATAAAAACACAAAATATATGTGAATGCTGTCTATATCTTCATGGTACATATAGTGATATGTATATCTGTCTTGCTCCACTGGTGACTGTGGACCATGAACAGTAGTTTTTGTCACTTTCTACAAGCGGATAATCACTACATCATCAACAGATCTGTCAATATCAAAATGGTTACAGTCCCCAAATACAGTTACTGCAAAAAAAAAAAATCAATCTGAAGCCTTCCTGTTCCTTACACGTAGAGCTGTTCTCCGGCTCCTTGCAGAAGGGTTTGTACCTCCAGGTGACAATAACATCGTGGACGTTTGCAGAAGTGAAATAGTCACATTGTAGAACCACGGGGACAAACTGAGCGGCGCTGCGCACCTGCTGAGGAACAATCACCTGAACACACAGCGACACTGCGGAGAGACGGCAAACACATTCTTACAACAGTTTGTGTTTAGATGTTTGTAGAAGGAATTAATCAAACTCAGATCACAATGTGAAATGCAACATGGAGAAAACAGCAGGCGACAGCATGCACTGCCAGCAATCTAGTATTTGTGGTAAGAATGAAGGAATCTGTGTGGCTGTTTTTCTCAACCAAGGAGTTCATCTCAGAGTGGAAGAACCAGTAAAACTGGGATGCAAGGGAAACTCCTTTACTTTGAAACTACCAACCAAACATTCAAAACATGGAATGAAAAATGATGAGTTCATTTCTCCATCAATGTCCACATGTATGAGTGGTGTTCCAGCCTCAAACCAGCTAGAGAGCCACTAAACTCTTAGGTTCCAGGAAGCAGTTGTACGCTGTGATCCACATTATTATGAAAGTGACATTTCAGAAGGTGCCCTGTGATAGACTGGCGACCTGTCCAGGGTGTCCCCTGCCTTCGCCCTAAGTCGGCTGGGATAGGCTCCAGGCCCCCCGCGACCCTAGTGAGGATTAAGCAGAGTATAGATAATGGATGGATTTCAGTAGGTTTTCTGTAAAATAAGCATTTTGGTTTGAGTTTTTCCATGAAAATTTTTAGTTGTTTCATTTCTCATATATTTTCAGGGAACTGGTATCAATCTGGGTTGTTTATAGGTTTGCTTGGGCGTCTATTTAAAACAAAACTCGTGGAAAGAAAGAGCTGCACATTACTAAACAAATCTCAGTTCTTAACGCAGTATGAGAAGGAAAAAAAATTACAAAAATATGAAGAGCAGAATAATGCAGTGTTCTGTAAGATGTATTAAAGCCGCTGATATTTCATGAAACTAAAGAGAAGTTTCCATCAGACAAATGATCAGTATTAGAAGGACAGCGATAATAAAAACAAAAGCTACCATGAACCCTATTAATATACTTGTCAGTGCAGGATCCACCACAGCCTGGCAGTCATGCATACATGTAAGACCCTCTAACCAAAGCAAAAACAAAACAGATAGAAATAACTTTAAAACTATTGACCAATGAATGCTGAGCCACACTTGATGCCTAAGATGGATGGAGATCTGGATGGTTGGTGAATGGCCGCTGATCCAATAAGAAACCCTGTGGGACTCTAAAGATCCAAGGATTTGGAAGACATGAAGAGTTCTTCAGTGAATTTGAACAAATGTGGTACAAAAAGAAAAACTGTGGCTTCAGCAATAAAGGACAACACAACGTGTCACGCTGCACTAAACTGGAAGAAAACACCGTCAGCATCCTTCCCTGACCTCAACTCTACTGAGAACCTGTGAAGCATCACACGATGGATGATCTGTGGCAGCAAACATGGAAACAGCAGGCAGAAACTATACATGGACCTCATTCAAGTCCAGTAGATGAGAGAACTGTTGAGTGATGTCAAAGAGAGGCTCACATATGAATATAGCTTGATTTGTTCTGCTCAGGCAACTAATACATATCTGTTTTGAGTTCAGTTTGACCTCCCTAACGTTTTAATATTACATTTAGCACAATCGTTTTAAGAACCAGTAGTCATTATCAGAAGTTCTTGCTTGTATCATATACATTTCAATGTCATTGTTGAGGATAAAAATATCTGTAATAGTTTAGGAGAAACAAACAAAAATGGCATCTGAACAATAATTTGGAACCCAAGATAGAAGATTGTGTCAAATTAATAAACTGATCAGTGGGAAAACGTTTAAGACAACTTGCTTGAGGACAACAGTCAGCCAATACGTAAAGAATGAGAAATTACTTTTCAGAAGTGACAACAAGAGAATCCCAGCAGGTAGTTTCCTCATGATGACCAAAGCTACTAAAGCAAAACTGACAGATTAGTGGAAAAGAACAAGAAAACAAGGTATTTAGACTCGATACAAGCGTTCACTTCCGTTCTGTGTGTTTGCCAAACAAGTAGCTTATCTCTTGAGACTGGATTCACCTCGGGCCACACCCTAACAGGTGAGCTTATCGTGATCTAACTGGAGCTAACTTTGACAAGATGACTGTCAGTGCCAGTGCTGACTGAACATCATAAAGAACTAAGTATTCCAACAGAGATGTCTGCTAAACTAAATTATAGTTTGTATATAGCAGTTAATCAGAGAAAGAATTGTTGGTCACCAGACTTAAAAAACAACAACAACAAAAAACACAATAAAAAAGTTTTTAAAAAAATGTACCTCAAAATGTAACAATTGCATTTTTTTCTGTAGTTTGGAGTATGTTAACATAATCTAATAGTGTATAAAGCTGCTTCTGAACCTGCTGTAACACAGTCTGACTCTCCATGTCTATGCTTGTGCGCCTCTTTAACTTTAAAATAGTTCCTGCTTGGTGTTTGTGTCAGCAGCCAAAAAACAAGGAAGTTCATAGATGCAGAAAACGGCAATTCAAATGTGTACATTCATAGTCTAAAATTCATTTTTCTGCAAATATGTCATTCTTTAGTTTTAAGTGCAGGAACATCTATTTTTGTTACTTTGCTAATGTTAGACATGACAGATGTGCAGCTCCAATCTGGAACCACTAGATGTCAGCCTAAGCTGCTTTTCACTGTCTGAGCTGAAGCTTAATGATTGTGCGATTTCTGTTTTCAGCTCAACTCTTGAGAATGTTGCAGTTCTTCTGAGCTGCTCGTTCCCTTGAAGAGAGACACTTTACCATAAACGTCTGGATTCATCTGCACATGAATGGGACTTTTCTGCTCTCGCGTGTTGTGCTTTCCGAGTCCTTAAAATCCTCAAAGATTGTTTTCCCCATGAGCACACCCACTCTGCACCTGCAGCCTCTGTTAAACTGTTTTTTCCTGGAAACGTCTGCCAACATCCACTCCGTGTTTCCTTCTGCTGAGGCTTTAAAGCATGAACACATGTTCATTTAGGGATGACTGCACCATTGTTTTGCATTTTTATTTTGTGAACTTGAAAATACTTAGACTGGAAACTTGTCAGCATTTAACTGTCCTAAAACCAGTGCCGCTTAATTGAAATCCACTGCAGCTTTTGTGTTTTGAGCCAAATCAGTTCTACGGAAGGACATTTTCAACTTAAATCTTTTTTTTTTTTTTTATTGAACTGCATACGCTAAGATATGTACATGTTTCTGTATTGCACAGGTTTATTTATCAGAATGAAGATGCAGGAAGAGGCTGCACTAATTCAAGAAGTGGTAGAAAGTCGTACAGCACATTTACTCCTGTACGTTTCATGTTACGCTACTTTACATTTCTGCTTCCCAACATTTAAAAGAAGAAAACATTGTGTTTTTTACTTTACAATTAGCTGCTTGCTGCACAGACTTAGATTAACACAACATATAATCAACCAATAAGCTACCCAGCAGCAGCTTTACTGCTAACAACTTGAGAAAGGGAAGGTTTCATTTTGCATTATGTGCATTTGCTTCTCATACTTCAAGCATATTTTAACTTCATGTTTACCTCAGTAAACTTTTGAATGCATATTTTTAATTGCAATAGTGTATTTCTACACTGTGGCTGTTTTGACACTATTTTCTACAACAGTTGCACACAAACAATAAGGACTAAAGTTAATCTGCATGTTTTTTATTAAGATTTTCACACTATTCTAAGGACTGTGTGGGATTTGATCAGATTTAATTGAGTCACTAAACAGTCCATCAATAATCATCATCAAGTCTGACTGATGCACATAAATATTTGACATTGTTCAGCGTTGGCTCCATCCATGTTGAACCAGCAAGAAGAGGCCACAGAAACCAAACACACGCAGTACAGTGATGTAATATTTCCTTGCTGATGCTTCTGTAGAGATGAGAGTTGCTCAACAACATTCCTGACATATTCTCAGGCGGTGAGTGGTCACCGTCCTAGCCGATCCCTCCCATCACAAACATGCAGCAAACATAAATTCATAATACAAGACCCAAAAGATTGACTCCTTTTCTTCTCGTGAATGTTATAAAAATAATTCTTCCGGCTCTGTTTATTCAATTCTTGTAGGAGTTGAAGAAACAAATGGAACTAATGAGAAAGTGAAAGTACTTAATTTAAATCTTTCTTCAGCAGAAGTAGACATGTATTAGCAGTGAAAGCTATTTAAGTATTTGTAAGTGTTTGTAATGCAGGTTTTGTTCTTTGTAGATGAATGTCTCAGAACATTTAGCAGTTCTGGAACTAGTTTGCATTAATTGTTAGGTAGTTTATTGTATGATAGTTAACATTTTATAAGCTCTTCATGTGTTCTGTGTGTAAAATGTTGATCTACAAAGCTAGTAGATACTAAACTCGTCAAATAAATACACTGAAGTCAATATATTCTTGTAAAATGTGGTGAAGCAGATGTATTAAGTAGCATAAAAGAGAGACACTAACATTCCTTTACTGCCTGCACAGTTCAAAACAGTCCATCTCAACATTCTGAATTCAACAGGTTCCAATAAAAGCTGGGGATGATTTTTCTGCTTAGTTTATTTGTTGCGAAGACGTGCAGAAAACACAGTTGGTCATAATGTTTGCCACCTCGCATCTTGACATTGTTACAAATAGATACTTCAGAAACTTACAGGAGGTTAAAATGTTGTAAGAAATTCTTCATGCGGACGACAAACAGGGCAGATATCTGCGGTTGAGCTGGCAGAACTGATATGTGAGTTTTGACACAGCTGTGTAGCCAAGACAGGCAGTCTGTGACTACAACAATGAACAAAGACATGAGTCATACTCAATCACACATTGTCTCCTTTACAGAAAAGTAAAGAGTCATCTCTCTCTCAGTCTATCTCACACACACATAAACATAGTTGTCAGTACCAAACAGCAGAAAACACAATGGAAAGAAATCCAAACAGAAATTATTACACTTGTCTAAAGACGAGCTTGTTCAACATGGAGATAGCAACAATAAAAATACTGTACGGTGTATTGTTAGAACACATACGACTGATCCTAGTGTGCGTTTATGTGCGTGTGGCTGTTGATAACACACAATCAGTTTAGCTGTTGACTCAGCAGCAGCGATAAGCAAACGCTGAATTACGTTAATCAAATCAAAGACACTTCATCTTGTGCACACAGTCACTCGAGTGCTTAGACAAGTCTAATCATTTACACATTACAATCATATCACACTGCACACATAAATAGTTTACGTATAAAAGTGTCATCAAACAGGAGTACAAAAATCTTTTTAAGGCAGGAAGCAGTTCAATGTATACAGAAAATACTACATCTCATGAGAACACAGTCATTTTGCGAAAACTTCAGTTTTTAACTCAAAACTTTGTGAAAACGTTACGGTGTCATGAATAAGAACTTAGAAGTAACTAAACACCTGCAAACGCTGCATCCGGTCATTGTGGGTCAGATGTGACCTCATTAGTTTAGTGCTTCGTCAGTGCAGCTACTGTATCTGTGTTAGGCATAATTTTTAATTCATCACCACGGACACATTCACAAATTTGCTATTTTCTGACCAGCAATTCTGCAGTTTAGAAACAACTTATTTGGCCTCTTAAGAGCTCTTTTTCCATCTTGTACTGCTTTAAAAATGTTTAAATATATACTACTATATACTACACTATTAGAAATACAATTAAATCTATTACTAAGGCACTCAGCGGTAAACACATTATCACCTTATGAAGACGATATCATGGATGTTTCAGCAAACAGTTGCTCAGTTATGCAACAAACACACTCTAGTTTTAGCTTCAATTTGGTCTCCACCAAATCTTGTGGGAAACATCTGCCACTTTTGATGTTCAAGTTTTTCATCTGCGTTCGGAGTTGGGCCAGAAGTGTACAGTAAGTTTACTGGAGCTTTTTGCTGATGAGAGTCATGAAACCAAATACAAAACAAAACAACTGGCTGAAAGACACTAAAACACTCCATTGACCTTTTAGGGGAACATTGGAGGATAAATTGTTACTATTAACAAACTATTTTACATCTTTTGAATAATTGAACTTGTTTGCAATGTTTTACTCCTGTCTTAAAGAGTTTAAATTTGATGGACAGGTTTGTGTTACAATTCCCCCTTTCTATTATTTTACTGGTAACTTTATCGTGTAGAAAAACACTTTCACTCATTTGTTAATCTTAGTTGTGTTCGCGTGCAAATTAGCTGACAAGCTAACCAGCAGCGCATTTACAGAGATTGACATGCTAACATCAGGGTTATTTAATTCCTACGGTCCCATAAAAACAAACAAACAAACAAACAAACACTGGGTAATGTTGGTTACTACTTCTCGCTTTGAGTAACATTAAAGTCTCATTATAAAAGCCTTCTGACTAACACCTTGATAACAGACCCTCGGGGAGATGAGCACAGACAGCTGAGGACACCATGGATGCAAAGTTGTTATTATACTACTTTCTAGTTGGCTTGGAGGAATCAACACATGCACACTACTGCTAAACCACACACGCTACTGCCAGTCAGCAGGAGATGACCAAATTTACGTCACGTGGTCTCGTGGACTCTCGTATAACACAGGCCTTAGGTGTTTTATTCCCTAATGATGCTACTGAGTGACACAGTGTGCATACTGTTTTCAACTGTAGCTACAGTAGGTCCTTTACAATAATGGTGTTGTCATATACCGTCTATTCCACAACTGTGCTTCAAATCGAATATCTCATCAAATGGAAATGAATGCACTCATTGTGCTGCATGAGTAAAGGACGTCTCTCTGCTTCTGAGCCTTGTCTAAAGGGATGAGGGGGACACTAACAGCGGGGGGTGGGCAGTCCAGGTCATTCGCCTTGCTCACATTAGTTAAGTGTTAGTCCAGCTGAGATATATACGACACAGACAGCAACTTCATTTCTGAATCACATCACAAGCAAAAAGCCCCAGCAAAAGTCTCGATAGAAAAAACGTCCTCCTCTTCACCCGGTACTGCTTCAGCTCTCCTTCATTTCCCCAAAGTCGGTTGTGCATATTTTTGAGAATCCACACTCAGTCAATTCAATCATCTTTTATCAGATGACATGCAGCGTCTGTGGAGTATCAGAGCTTCATCTTCCTTCTGCTCCAAGCTTTTAGTCCCTGTGACTTTAAGTCAATCAGACGATGAGTGAATCTCGGCTGAGAAGAGTGCTCTGGTGAAGACAAAAAAAAGTGTAAGTGATCAAAGCGACAACAGCGAATTTATACACAAATATTAAAGCATATCTTGCTCAGTAAAGTGAGACAGTATAGAGACTGTGAACATTAGCCAAACAGGGTTATTATGGTGAAGAGGAGCCTGGGACAAACTGCTTTTCAACTTTGTTTTAAATTGTCTGAAGATTTGTTTTAAGACCCTGCTCGAGGCCACAAAGCTGACTCTCATTACATTAATGAATTCATTTTGCACAGGAAGTCTTTGATGTTGAAGACCATTTCGACCCAGGTTTGTCAGTGAGGAAGCAACCAGTTATGATTATTATGGAAAGTGGTTGGATACAGAACAGAGTATTCTACCTAGTATTCATTCTGGTAGCTTCTGAACCTGACCTGTCAAAGGTACAACAACAACACTTATTGGAGGCCTACAAACCTTTTTCAAACACTTCCCCACCAGGATCCCGTGTAGTAAAGTTAACATTTTGATGTAGGTTTAACATTCTCTATTCTTAGTATCCAAATTTTTGAAATACATGATCTTTTCTGTATAATCCATTCAGAGCTTCCCTGTACTACTGAAAATAAAATACAAAAAGGGTTCCCTAATCCAAATCCCTTGGTAACTTAACTAAGTGCAGGGTGTCTTCAGAATTTTAGCACCAGAAAAGGTGGCCTGAAGCATTTTTAGTAATGCAAAAGGCAACAACACACATTTGCTGTACACGCTCATGATGCTTGTCTGTTTATTTTTTCACAGGCCACTGAAACTGATGACACTATTGTAGATCTGCTCACTTTTATTTTGTTTTGAGAAAAAAAAAAGTCAAATTGTTTGCCAAAACAAATTAAATGGTTTTACACCATCCTGTAAATCAGATTAGATGGTGTGTAATCTTGGATCACATGCCTCCAAATTTAAGCAGTTATTTGATTTGTGGACTGCTACCCAGAGTGTGTTTTTCTTACATCTTTGTTGAACTTAGAGGCACACTGATGAATGGGCTCAGCCTCTCCAGGCTCATTTCGTGAACATCTACAGAGTCAAATATAGTCCTGTGTGACTAAGTAATTTGATAATGACCTAAACTCCTAAGTCTCTTCCTGTGTTTTCACTACATCTGAAGAGCCATGAAGACTGGCCAAATTAGATTCATGACAGATTAAAAATCAACTGCTTTTCCAACAAAATTTTCACACACTAGAAAACAACAATCCAGTCATCCTGTTCTTTCTATTTACTGTTTCCTGACTCAGTTGTTGATTTGTTTGACGAAAAAGGCATAAAAAGGAAACTGGAAACTGACTCCACAGTAAACAACCTGCAGACTACTTATTAATTTCTGCTTTGAACTAGAGCTATTGTACAGGATCTAAAATAAATTCTTGGTGTTAACAGTGTTAACATTACTCTAACACACATTTCAATTAATTACACACCATCAATAACTAGAAATAATGCTGAATAAGCGCTACTCACTGCTGTTGATCTGCAAATTAGCATAACAAGCATACAATTTACAGACTTGAATGTGACTCACCACTTTCCGGGATTTGTCTCTGGGTTCTTCTCTGCGACCGGGTTGGAAATGAGAAGCTGGCTGAGAGGGGCGAGTGTTTGTGGGTACCGGTCGTGGAGACGGCCTGCCAGTTCTGTTTCGCTCTGACTCTGAGTATGGAGGCAGTGAATCTGCGTCTGGCCTGTTACTAGGTGAGCGGCTGTGCCGACTAGACTCCCCGCTGCTCTTTTTTGAGCTGCTCTTTGAAGGTGTGTCTGAATCTTCCTCAGCACGGGCCCCACTCTTCCCTTGGCCAACCCCTCTTAATTTAGCCTTACGCTCCAGCAGGCTGTTCAGGAACGTGCCGTCATAGTCTTTTTCTTGAGAAGAAGTTGAAGGTGGACCTACTGTGGGAGGAGGTGGGACAGTGCTCTCCCTTTCAGAAGTGCCCCTCCTCTTTTTGGGTGAAGAAAGTGGGCTTATGTTATGCCTGTTACTCTTGTTGCGTCTGGGACGTTCTTCATGGTCGCTGTTGTCATCGAGCTCTTCGTCATTACTATGATAATGCTGAGGTGGACCATTGCGGTAGGAAGGATATCGATTAAACTCCCGAAGCTCCATCTCATAGTCTCCTCGCTCTTCTTCCATCCTCTCTGCTCCTCTACCTCCTCTCTGCTTGTAACAGGCAGCAAACTCCTCCAGCTCGTCCAATGAGCCGGTTCGTCCTGTAGTGCGGTACGTCTTCCTCTGCAGATGTTCTGAACGAGGGTTCCACCTGTAAGACATAAGTATAGTTAATTTTTGTATGTGTGCACATGTACTGTGTTTTTAGATTCAGAAATGTTTGTACCTGTTGTGGTTTTCCTCCTCACTGTGGTTCTGTTCTCGCTGATTCCGACCGAGCCTGTGCGACTGAGAGGACGATGGAGGGTCATCGCTGTATCGTCGTGGAGGGAGAGGCTCGTCCTGGCCGTGGCGGGGCTCCAAATCAGGGTCATCACGGTAACGATGGGGCGACGGGGGATTATCACGGTAACGATGTGGCTCTGGGCTGCGGTTGTCACGGTAACGCTGCGGTTCAGGCTGAGCATCGTGATCAGGTATGGCTGGCAGGGCTTTCTTCTGGACGTTTCGGTATGTTTGGCGGAAGCCAGCTTCTCCCTCGTGGAGGGAGCTCAGCTCAGACAGGCTACAGGCTGTACAGGTCAAAATAAAAACAATAATCAATGAGGAATGACTGCTGAGAAAGATCATCAATTGAAGAGAAAATTGTCCCAAAGCACAACACGGCACACGAAGAAAGTCAAGATCTGCAAGAAATCATACCAAGGTTGGAGACAGAGTGATTAAAACATATTCTTTCTGTTAAGTAGGCATGCACACATGCTGCTACATCTGAAGCCACAGGAAATTCAGCAGGCAGAAAGTTTAAGCATAGAGAGGCATGCCAAGGCAAGCTGAAGGGAACAAAAAGCCAAAAAGACTCTACCAATACTGTAGACAGCATGAGCATGCTTTAGCAGTCAAGTTATGAGGCTTACACTGGTGGCTGATGGACCTGGAAGGATTGAAGTGAGCCAGTTGTTTCTCTACATACTGTAGCACCCTGAGAGAGTCCTGATCCTGAGGTGAAGGCACGCGGTAGGGAACCCCTACAGCATGCATCGGCACTGGAGATACACACTTGACTCATCAGCATGGGCAACTTGAGTGTGGGTTTATTGGTTTGAGGACCATACTGGTGTCTTTTTTTGCATGTTTTTTTTTTATTTCACGATTATAACAATAAAAAATGACAATTTACCAAACACATCCTAACCCATTATAGTGTTTTCTATTCTTTGGTATAATTAGCAGAATAAAATTGGAAACTCATGATCTTATAAAAACACAAACCGTTTACAATGCTCACAAAGAGACAAAATGAACTGAAAGACAATTGCATTCCTGACTAAACTTTAAGTACTACAGCATTTCTGAATAAGCTTTATCTTGGAAATTATTCCAAGCTCAGGTAGTCTCTATCCAAACTCAGAACAAACTCTAGGGATGATTTAAAAGGGATAAAAGATACAAAAAAGATCCTTAAATCCTTCTAAATGAATAAAATAGTAAGACCTCACCTGCTGTGAGCAGGCTCCCATCTGAGGGGGGGACAGAAGACATCTTATCCACTAGGGAGGGGGGGGCGATGGGTACCATGGTCGGGACACCAGAGACGAAGTATGGAGGGTATGTAGGTGATTGAGGAGTGGAGGTGCCCGTCTTTATACCTTTCCCTGCCTCGTACACTAAAAACGAAGACACAATCTCATTCAGGCTTTCTAGAAAAACATGCTTCTTTCAAACAGTGTCAGTATTCTGAGCACAAAGTTTCCCCCACTGAGTTTGTGTTTATACTCACAGTGTCTGGGGCAGCAGCATGTGTCGGGGCAGCACCAGCAGCTGACGTAGCAGCAGCAGGAGTGAGGACAACACTGGCACCAGCAAACTCCAACCAACAGCAGGAATAAGACACTGCCGAGCGCCACTGCCACCACAAATACCCACTCTGTAAGAAAACACAACATCAAATCCAGCATATAAATAAACACATACTGCGATAGGAACAGTTTGATCTGATCGCTGTGTAGTCATATCTGGCTTGAAAATGGCTTTTCGCACTTAAGAGTATTGAACTTGCTTTTTTTTTTTAGTGATAGTAACACTGTCAGCCTCACATTGGACAGCAACAGAAAAAAAAAAAATATAAAAATGGATGCTGCTGTATTTCATACAACCTTCTCCCTTCTGCCAAACCCTGTTGCCTACATTACCCAAGATGTAACTCAACAGCATTTTGTTGTGTCTCTTGTAAATAGACTTGGTTGTGTAAAATCAGTTTCCCTTCAAATGTGTGCCTGTATTTTTCCTGGTTTCTCCTTGAACAGTACGTCTATACTGATTATTATGATCAATGGAAATGAAAGAACAGTTTGTTTCTAGAAAAACAGGCAAAAAGGCAGAAATAGTAAACATTTGTTAACTCATAGAAATAACATTAATTACAAATTCGGCATCAAAGTCCTCTAAACTTGTAGGTCGGATGATTGGTATTAAGCAGATAAAAATGCTCATCACCTTTAATATCCTTTGTATAATCTCTCATGGCTCACTAGTTAGCGTAGAAGCCATAGATGACCCATAGTGTACAATATGTAATTGTACACTAACTTTATGACAGGAAATAAATTCCTGATAGGTTGATAGTGTGACAGGTTCAGTAAACTGCTATAATAATCGTAGATGAAGACAAAGAAAATGATAAAGATTTTATCCAAATTAAAAAATATTTCAACATATTTTTTCTTAGACACATGTAAACTACCTAAAGGCTTGATGAAATGGTATCATTTGTTTGCTAATGTTAGGAATTTCTTATAGAAACAGGATGTTGGGATGGAACAAAACACAGTGAGAGCTCATTATAAACTGCAAAGCTTTAGGAAATCAGATCAGGATAAAGGGCTGAATAGGTGAAATGTGTCTAGTTTTTAGTAATTCTTTCATGTATTCCATTTTCCTCAGACTGTGACAAATCATAACAAATCACAACTTAATCAGAGAATAAGCTTTAACAAAATATATATATATATATAATTTTACTCATAACACCAGAGAACTGCAGCGATGAAGTATATAATTCAGTCAGTGCCACGGATAAAGTCTGTGTATCTGTCTATGGGGACAAAGCAAAGGAAAGGGAAGGAGAGGGCAGATAAGGAAATCTTTAACAATGTAAAACCAAGGACAACATTCTCTGTCATACACACACACGCACGTGCACGCACACACACACACACACGCACGCACGCACACACACACACACACACACAGGAAACCTGATTTTGCTAGAGGAAGGAAAAGGACAGTTTATGCTGCTCTGTAAGATACTGAAGATCTGGCTGTTACAACAGAATAGCTTGTAATGTGATCTGTGATCTCATTTGCAACCACCATGACTCCTTCACACACACAAACACATCAGGATTTTAGCAGACATGTCAGAGCACTGTGGGAGTCAGTGTGGACAAAAACACTTACTAATGCAACACTAACACCAGAGATAAGCTTCCAGTAACCATTTAGACTGAGTGAGACATACCAAGTCATTTTATTTCCACACTAACATACATTCATTTATCACTTTCTCAGAACTCTGATAGTTAAATAGGCGTTAAAAGAATTTGATGTGACATAAACAAAGCTCCCTCCCTCTTCATTGCTGCCTTTTTACTGGTAGTATCCAGATGATGTTGAGTGACATGCTGACCACAACCCTAAATAACTATAATGACCATAATAGCTGTTTACCAGTACAGCTCGTCTTAGTGGGAGCAACGGCCAGCTCATTATTTGATGGGTGTGGATCAGCGTGTCGGGTTAAAAATGGCTGTGAGCTCAACTCTCTCAAAGCCTCCCTATAGCTGGATCATAAACGCCTGTTGTATTATTTACTGATGTGGAGTGAGATTAAGGTGGACAGTCCCATAGTCATTAGCACAGGAATCATTAGACATGGTGTAATAATACATAAGTTTCTTGTGATGTGTGCCCAAAATGCTTCACAGTGAATTCCCCACCTCCACCACCATCCAAATGGTTCCTACAGCCATAGTTTGAGCAGTAAGTAGGGTTAGTAGGAAAGAAAGAAAGCAGGTGAGGGTGAGAATGCATTATGCCCCTACCTGGCATAATCTTCAAATCAAAGTCTGGCAGGAGATCTTCAGGCACACCTGAGAAACCTGGAGACACAGAGCACAGGTGACAAGAGGAGAGGAGAGCAGAGGAAATGGAGTTGATATAAACCAGAATGATTGATTCAAAGAAGGTTACTGCTGCAGCAGCATGCATTGAGAAAGAATTAAGACAAAACAGAGCAAAATACAGACAAGGAATGAGAAAAAGAGAGATAAATAGAGAGGAAGAGTTGGCAGGTCAACAGAAGCATGCATGAGAGGATATTCTGGTCTTGTTCCAGAAAGGCACAATATCAGAACTGATAAGCAGATTGATCATCTGATTTCTGATTTGAAAGGCTGTGAAAGGTTATCTGTCTGGTAAGAAGACAGACTGGAGCAAGAATCATTCTTGTCATGACAATGTGATAAACAGGCAGGCGCTGTGAGTTATGTTACATGCAGAGCTACAAACACCATAGAGGAGAATATGTCCCAGGTCCAGAGTGAGCTAACAGGCTGCAGAGAAACATTTGGTTTCAAAAACTATTTCTTTCTTCTCGTCACTCTGTCATCTGGTCAGTAAAAAGAGTAACAAATACTGGATGAGACCTACATGAGCACCAGATGTCCATTATTTTTCTCTATAATAATCTCCTCTCATTACACAAATCATCTTGCTTATCTATTTGGGAAAAGTTTCTACCGACAGCTGAAGTCACACACTACCTCCCTGTTAGCTTTTCTAACTAAATGTGTTCTTTCACCACACTGAAAGATGTTCCTGAAGGTTTCTGACAGTGCTCTGGTAATATATATTTATTACTAGAATAGATACGAGAATCCAACCACAACATCAGTTTAACAAAGACTGAAAATGACAAGTTAGAGTTTTACAGACAAGGGGGACTATTTTTTGGTTGTGAAAAAGCAACAGTAACTTATGGGTTGTGTTGTGTCTGTTGACATTTAAAATAATTATAGTCTTGTCTTGGCGAAAATCCTAAGGCTAATATATTCTTCATCATTTGTTTCAGAATTTTGGTGAAATTCGTTGGATGTTCACAGCTAAGTTAAAATCAAGCTTATGAAGATTAAGAATAGTTCAAAAGAAATACCAGTCAATGCCAGTTTTTGAAAATGAGATGGGGCCAACTTTATTAGCACCGTGTATTGGGGAGAAAGAGCAGCTTTGCACATGAAATGAGGAGATATGACTTTGTTTTTGAACACTGTGAATGTTAAATTACCAAAGTTTATATTCCTTTGCAAGAGAAACAAAAACATTGTGATAGGGCTGATGTACTGGCTTTGTACTTCTTTTGTTTTATATACAGTAGTTTTACTTTCTTTTTAAGTGCAATTTTATGGTTGGATAGATGACTTCTACACATAAGTCAGGAAAACAATAGAGAAACATCAATATAAGAAATAAGTCCTTAAAAACCATGAACACTTAAATTGATGTTCTTGCTATCTTGCTAGTGTTATGTCTTTCTCTTTTAAATTCTTCTTTCAACACTGCTTTAAGGAGGTCAGCAGATGTCTGAATGAAGCATTAACATAGTAGATAGCAGTAGTGTGTCACAAGCTGGTACAAAAATGTACATGACTGTGTTTGGTTTGTGCGCATAGGTTCAAGTGAGCAAAATGTGAGAAGTGAAAAAGCCAGTAGACGAGTGTGGTGTGAACAGATGCTGGTGTTTTACTGGTGACTGTGATTATTGCAGAAAGGAGAAAAGGAGTGCTGATCGAGAAAAAGGAGCGCTGAAGAAACAGAGCGTAAGCTGGACCCTCTTGGCCTGACTCTGGCTGACAGTGCACATACCTGACTGAGTATCTTTCTGGAAGGCTAAACATGTTCTTTGCTGGATTTGAAAAAAGAAAGAAACCTATTAAGTTCATTGAGGATCAGCTTAGTCACTACATGCATCTAACCAACTATGCACTGAAATTTACAATATTTGCTTTTGTACATTTAAGACATTTCAAATGTTGTGTTTATCTGTTGCTATGTCTTCTGTCTCTCTCCAGCTCAAGCAGTTGAAGGCAGCTCACTTGTGGAATTTCTACTGACTCTTGAATTTAGCCTGCAGGCTGGTGATTCACCAAGATTTACTGTCAAATATGTTGGGATTGCTAGTATTACCGTATATGAAGAACCACACAGGTGGTGTTTGTGCACTGCCACGTGTACTCTATAGAGATGAATAATAAAGCTAAAGTGTGCCAGAGAGGGTTTACAGAGGGGCTTTGCTCATAAATAAATAACACACACTATGTTCTCCAAATACATGTGCACAACTATATTTTTAGAATTTTGATACAGGTTCAACTGGTTCCCACAAAAAAGCTTAAAAAGTGCTTAAAGAGATCAACTGATGAAATTATGCATGGATTACTATAGATTGGATACAAGGTTTTAATGAACACTGGCCCAATTAAATTGACGCCATGCAAGAAAATGGAATATCTTTAAATACTGAGAAGAACTTTTCCCATGTCATGTCACCTGCTGTCTGTAGATTTCAGTGGTTAATCAAAGTTTTGTATCATAAACGACTAGCTTCTTAAAAAATAAACCACAATTAAACTTGAAAGGCAGACTGTAGAAACACAGAATCTTCTTTTCTTTTTATCGGCCATTGAACTCTCAATGGTCCGCATCAGTCGAGTGTCTAACATGGCATCACCCTCCATCTATTGTATCACTGTGCTCTGCTGTCCCTCCTCCACATCATTAAATCTTCCCTGTCTTCTTTTCTTCGAAGCCATTTGCTAAAAAGACAAAAGACCCCCTGAGCCATTCGCTGTGGCCCCAACTGTTGTTATGGAAACACAACAAGTGCCTCACATGCCATATTAGCTACACTAAGACCAGGAAATACAGCATTTTGGGTCTCTCATGTCACGGTAAATGCTGCAAACTGCAACTCAAGCAGCAGAGCTTCATTTGCCTTTAGCATTATCTTATCCTATCTTTATCTGAAATATATTATCCCAACCAGGCCGTAACCAACCTTTAACAGAGTCCCCTCAGCAAACTGTAAAAGCTTATTGTTCATAACTTGTGTGTGCATTTGCAAGTGTGTCTTTTTGTCCATATACATAAGTCTCTGAGTGCCAGCCAAACAAAAGTTCAGCCTCAGAGTGTTTTAAGGTGGCAAGAGCCAAAGGGCCTCTCAGCAGTTTCTATGGCAACATTTGTAACTGAACACAGACAAGTAGACTGTCACTGTAACACAACACATTACAGATAGATTTATATGGGGGAAGTGCAAAGGTTGCATATTAGTGTCAATGTCAAAGATTCCAACAAACAAATACTTGCCTTTCAAATCCTTGCTGTATATGATATATAGTATGACAGAATACAGTTGCTGTGGATACAGATTAAACAAGACTGTCCATGAACTGGCCCTGCTTGTTGTAAATCCGTTCATTAATGAGCCTTTATTGTGCTGTAGGCTGTGAATAGGTCAGACTCTAAGGCCATGTTATGTAACAGAAGCTAGTAGAAACATTTATTTTAAAGTAAATGTGTGTAACTTATAGGGCTGGTCCGAATAGCAATTTCTGATCTCCAGACATTCGGTCTCAATTAATGACGAATATCCCGAATATTCGGGGGTGTCGCGCGGTGGTGGCGGCTGCCTTGTTTCTGTCGACGGGGGGGCGTTCGGGTGTGGGGGTGCCGCGGCGGCCTTTCCCTATTTAGCTCCGTTTCTGTGTTTCTTTGTTTGTTTCGGGTTGGTTTCTGCGTTTGCGGGGCTGTTGGGATATTCGGTTTTCTATTTTGATTTCCGGATTGCGGCCCAGTGGTCGGCTATTCGGCTATTCGGGCTCAGCCCTAGTAACTTAAAGGGTCTATGATAGATTGCAAATGTATGATTGTTCAGACTTGCCTTAAATCCTGCAGTCAGTACTAAAGTGGACCAAACATTGAAAAGAGTGTGGTGGAATATCAATAAAAGTGACACTGCGGTATGTAGTGCGGCTGTGTAATAATAAACAACACACCTCTAAAATCAGTGACTTAATGTTTTAAGTCAATCTACCTGATAAATGTGCAGGTCAGTCCACCAATGATGAATCAGCTGAGTTTTAACAGATGTCAATGAGACACAGAGGAACTGTTCACAGAGTATGGTGTGACTGTGACTCAGCTCTCAGGCTAATTTCTTAACTTCAAAACTAAAATCCTTTACAGTGTACACTTTGGGAAAGTAGGGGCAGCTTACCAAGAACCAGCAGCTCCACCGAGGCTTCGCTTTGTCCCTCCAGATCATCAGATATGACCACTTTGCAGATGTATACTCCACTATCTCCCCACTGGACCTCTCCTACTCGCAGGTCTGCTTCTGCATGAGAAAAAAAAAAAGGAAGGAATTGAAAATGAGAGACAAAAACATTTAACCCTTCATTGTTTTAGGCAACTAAGAGTGAAAAATGCACAAATTATAATCCCTCTTGCAACAGGCATCTTCCAAAACATTTAAATGGTGCATATTTGAAAGTATTACCCCAAAAAATATTTTATTTGAGTTTGCATTTCTAGGCTATATCCATTTTAAAGGCTCTGATACACAATACGTGTCAAGCCATGTATTGCTCCCATGGTCAATCTATTGTTCTGAAAAGAATTTCAACAAGATTTGGAGCCTGGCTGCAGAGATTTGTTTCCATGCAGCAACTAAATCATCCCTTACTGAGGTGAGGTAAGCTGATGTTGGGCGATAAGGCCCAGCTCACAATCTGCATTCCAATTTCTCCTGAAGTGGCTGGATTGAGTTCAAGTCAAGGATCTGTGAAGGCAAGGCAAGTTTCCTACCTTTCCGTTATGTCAACTGATGTTGTTGAGTTGTTTAATTCCCATTTGATCCCTTGCTAGTTAGGCAGTTAGCTGGCTGGTGAAGTAATGACAACACACTCCTCCTATCTGTTAAGTTGACACCAGACTCAAAGAAAACCTTAGCAGGCCGAACAATGAAAAACTCCACACATTAACTTCACAAACATCAACAGTGTTCACATTCTTTTGGCCACATTGTGTATTTGTAGGAGCTCAGGTTAATGCATAAAGCTGTGTAATCAATTAGTAAAATGTTTTTACTACTATGTAAGCAAGATTCCTATAAAATGTGGCATGAAAAGCCATAAAAACAATTCAAAAGCAGTTTGGCTCAAGAGTTGAACACGTAAGACAATACTGGGCCACCGACTCCATTGTAAGGGGGTTAGAAGTATAAATACGGTAGACAGGAAATGGGTTGTATAATTCTCTTCCTTTTCCTGCTAGCCAAGGAAGGTGGAGGAGAGACAGACTGTGACCAGCTTCTCCTTCAACAAAGTGACACTGCCACTCATTCAACATTCAAGTTTTCATTCTTTATTGTTTATTTTAGTTCAATACTGATTATTTTCATTTGAAGCTACCTGGTTAAGCTGCATCTTCTGTTTTCCTGTGATTCGTGTTACCTCTACAGTGTATAACTGTATCCCCTGTGTTGTGTGTGTACTGTGTTAGTTATGTGATTAACAGAACACCCCCTGCCTAGTGCATGCTGGGACAGACTCCAACCTCCCTGTGAACCTGAATAGGATTACATGGGTATGGATGACTGGGCGTCTCCAAAGGCAACAAAGTCAAAGCTTTCACTTTTTTGTCCAGTTACAACAGTACAGTGACCTGTTTCAGGACAGTAGGTGGAGTGGGACAGAAAAAGACAAGAAGTGAAAATAAAAACTCAAAGAAAGCCTTACACTGAGAGGAGTAAGTGTTTGGATGGTGGGATGTCCAGAGATTCAGAGAGGAAAAATAAAGGAAGACATTGAAGTACATCAGAGGGAAAGAGTTAGAGGTCAGGATGAATGAGAGGACAGCATGAAAACCGTTTCTTTTATCTGCGTTCCTGGCTGGTGAAGAGAAGGTTGATTCTTCAGCCAGAGTTAGAGCTCCATAAATCTGAGCCCAGCAAACAAGACTACCCCTCTGTATTCAGCAAGCACACACATGCAACCACAACTACACACATGCAAGTATGCACAGTAGTGTCCTGTAGAAGATCCTTGAATGACACCATGGTAATACAGTAAAGAAATGTAGAACTGAGGGAAGAGGAATGGTCAAAGCATGTATGAATGTGTTTGCTCCATGAACACATGCTTTTGCCTTCCTTTGTCCTCAGTTGTACATTTCTTTAATGGGAGATTTATTAAAACTAACGTGTTAACGAGCATAAGAAGTTTAGTTTAAAGTAATGGACTATTGTCCTGGGGGCTGCAAGGTGCCTTGCGTGGAGTTTGCATGTTCTCCCCGTGCAGTATGGATTCTCTCTGGGTTCTCAAGCTTTCTCCCACACAGTCCAAAAACATGTTGAGGGTAACTGGTGATTCTAAATTGTCCGTAGGGGTGAATGTGAGTGTGCTTGGTTGTCTGTCTCTCAGTGTAGCCCGGATAGACTGGTGACCTGTCCAGGGTGTCCCCTGCCTTTGCCTTAAGTCAGCTGGGATAGACTCCAGCCCCCCCGCGACCCTAGTGAGGATTAAGCAGTGTATCGATCATGGATGGACTATTGACCTGACATGTAGCAGCATCTGTCTCTGACTTCACTTTGGCCATTTAATCAGGAATCTGAGGGAAAGGTGGGCCAATATACAGATTTAGGGCTGTCGCAACATGTGCCAAACTTGGCAACAGATGAAGTAGAAACCTACAGTACGAGCCAAAAGTTTGGACACACCTTCTCATTCAATGATTTGTCTACATTGTAGATTAATACTGAAGACATTAAAACTATGACAGAACACACATGGATTGATGTTGTAAACAAAAAAGTGTTACACAAATCAGAATTTGTTTTATATTTCAGATTCTTCAGAGTAGCCCCCTTTAGCTTTGATGATAGCTTTTGGGACTGTAAGTTTCAATCAATATGTTAAAAAAATTAAAAACAGAGAGGCTGCTTTTTCTTATTGCACCAAGAAAACTGGATGCAAATGTGCAATGCTAAAACAGATAATATCTGGCTGGCTGCTTGGAACATCACATGTCTGTAGTATATTGCTTCAGTAGTTCGCCAGCACAACTTTCCAAGTGCAGCCAGGTGAAGTGAAATTCCATCTAAAGCTGGTGAGCTGAAATTCTGCCTTTAACTGAACACAAATGTGTTGGCCTGGCAACATAACTGCTGTGTGATTTGAAAAAGATCATTTTCAGCAGAAGAACAAAAGCAGAGGTGCTAGCAGAACCACAGATGACTTACTGTTGATGATGGAGATGTCTCTGTTCTTGTAATACTCTGACAGTGTGACTGAGGAACCAGAGATGGAGGCCACAGTTCGGACAGTCCGGCTGCTATCAGAGCAGTCGAGGTAGCTCGCTGTCATCCCCGTTTCATATCCTCCACCGGCTCCTCCAGTTCCACTCGTCAGCCCTCCTCCTCCTCCTCCTCCCAGGCCTCCACCCAGGCTGTCTGGGAAGCTGAATGAATCCCGTGTACGGTCACGACAGTAGGATTTGTAGACCCACTGCACCACGGCGGTCTGGGTGGATACGCTGGTGTACTGACATGGCAGCACTACCGACTGGAACAGCACAGCATACCTCTTCTCGTCTCTCACAAATACATGGACACCTGAGCATGACGGAGGAAAGACACCTGAGGGAGACGACAACGAAGAAAGATTAGCAAAGTGTGAAAGAAAGAAGATTTATAGGCAAGTTTAGTTAATCATGACATTTTTCTGTAATTAATGATTTTAGCTCATTTACAATGATTAATCAACGATTGTCTAGTGTGGGATGGAGACGACAACAAATATGACGTTGTCAACATGTAGGGGAGTGAAGAGGGCAAGACCTGAAGCAAATATACTACATCAGATAAAGTGACACTTTTACTCTCTGTGGACATTGCAAATAAATACCCATGAATCCAATGAAAAATCAAAGAAAGGTAACACCGCTCAGAACTACAGAAATGGCCTGACAACCAAGGCAATGTTGTTTTAAATTTTTGGGTCAAAAATATCCAGCAATAGCTGTCTATATTGGTATTCCTACAAAGGTCTACCTGTGGGTGTCTGCATGCACTGCAAACAGTCTCTATTTTGTCAAAAGGGAAGTTCAAAGTGTCAGACTTGGAAAACTTCAGTCTTGGACAAACTCACCACCACTGATCCAGCAGCTAAACCAGTTATCAGTAATAACTGGGAATGTGGAATTATGGGGATTTATGGAACACAACAGCAGACAGCCACACAGTGATTCAGATGCTGACTCAATGTCTAAAGAGATACCTGTTAATGTTCGCTCAGTTAAAAAATATCTGACATATCACATACCCCATTGCATGATGGAAATTACATCACCTCTATTGTCCAGAAGAGATTCAAAACTTTTGGGAGGAAAACTTAAAAGAAATTCTTGGATATTTTTATTTTCCTTTTAGCTGGAATGAAGTGAGTCATTGTACAGTTTGGCAAGATAAACATGACTGTGTTGAGACTGCTTGAGTTGCTTCTGCTTAGTGAAATCCGACTGTGAGCTGAGCTGACCTGGTCTTGTTTTGGGGCTTCTAAAGCTGCGGGACTCTGGGTCACAAGATGACCAGGAGCTTGGGCTCGGCAGCTCAACAGCAACACATACTAGAGAGCCGACCATGTGAAAACACATGCACACACCCTTAAACATCTGTGTAATCTGTGTGTATTTGTCAGATCAAGGGAGGCGGGAGGTGTGGCTGAACTGGACCAGTGAACAGGGGAGAGGTGAGAAACAAGAAGGGGTCGCTTCACTTAATCCAGACCAGGCCTGAGTTTTGTTTTCTTTTCATTACTGAAAAACAACGCCCACGCCACACCACTATTGCTGTAATCCAAAATACCAATAAGCTGCAGCATGCACAATGTTATGCTAAACAATACTGCTTGTTCTTGGCTGATTACAGACTTTCACATTTTCTTCTATTTAAATAAACAACAGAACAAACATTGTTACTCACGAGTGCTGAAAGGATGAGTCAGTGATTAATTAAGTGAGCAACAGAAAATTAACCATCAACAGACTGATCCCTTAAGTAGTGCATTAAACAAGAATGTTGTAGCTTCTCAGATTTCAAATTAAATAAAGTTTTGGCTTCTGATCAGAAAAAACCAAGAGTTTGAAGGTATTAACCTTAATTTCTGGATATTTTAGGAGGGCTTTTATTACAATTTTGACATTGTGTATTGTAGGGGCAAATTCAGGGACAGCAGATTCCCCAAGTCCTGCTAGTAGCGAGGTGAGGACTCCGTTAATTTGGACAAGTTTTTCCAGCACATCCCACGGACACTCAATCGGATTGAGATCTGGGGAATTTGGAGGCCAAGTCAACATCTTGAACTCTTTGTCATGTCCCTTGAACTATTCCTGAACAATTTCTGCAGTGTGGCAGAGTGCATTATTCTGCTGAAAGAGGTTGCTGATATCTGGGAATACAGCAACCATGAAGGGCTGCACAGTGTTTAGGTTGGTTGTCCGTGTCAAAGCAGCATCCACATGAGTACCAGGGACCAAGATTTTGAACATTACCCAGAGCATCACACTGCCTGCACTGGTTTTCCTTCTTCACACTGTGCATCCTGCTGCCATATATTCCTTAAGTAAACAACACACATAATGTGAAAGAAACTGTAATATTCTTTGGCTTGCTCACAGGTAGGTGCTTTTGGCAGTAGACAGGGATTAGAAATTGGCAATCTGACCATTCTGAATCTATGCAGCCCTAGATGCAGGAAGCTGCAATGCACCTTGTCTTCTAACACCTTTCTATCATAGCCAACATTAAGGTGTTTAGCTGCAGTAGCTCTTCTTTGAGACTGGACCAAACGGGTCACCCTCACACCCACCACAGAGCTTTGGGGACCCATCATCCTATTGCTGGTTGCTGTTTCATGGACCACTGATGGTAGCTATTAACCTGGTGGTCAGTGTGTATTACGTAATATTTAAAAAACAAAACACCAAAATGTAGTATTATCTTACCTAAATTGCAAACAGTTGCCAGTTTGGCCATTACAAACTACTGAAAAGCACAGAACAAACAGAGGTTGTCCTTAAAAAGCCTCTGAATACTATTGTTTGCACTTTTAATGGCATATTTGTGCTTTAATTAATTTAATTTTTCTTCTAGCTTTGTTATTATCAGAGGCCAGTCAGCTTTTACAGTAAAAATCTGACTTTTTGGAAAAAAAAAAAGGAGCATTGTTTCAAAATAAGCTGCCTCAAAACATAAATTCCTCAGGGGGAACATTGCTCCGACTTCTAAGAACTTGAAACCAAAAAAAAAGGGCTCCATGGGATCAGAGGCTGTGGGGCAATCCTGGACATATTAGTTTTCAGAGGAAGCCACCTCCAGAGGGGAAAATGAAAGCAAGAGGCGTGTGTGTCATAAAAACAAACATGTAAGGTGCCCTTAAGCAAACTTTTTGGTTTGAAAAAACATTCTACAATCAAAAGCAATTAATAATAAATCTGATAACATTGATGCCACCTTCCACATGCCACCTTTTTGTGTCCTGTTGTTTTAAAAGATTTTTTTTTTTTTGGTTTAATAAATTATATCCACTATAAAATATATCAAGTGTCAGTTTGCTGAGCTCTAGTTAAATTAGCCAGAAGTTAGACCTCCTAATCCACAACCCCAGAGCTTTTTTTCTGTTTGGTGAGTTATAAAGTTTCATTTCATCTCTACTTATTTCTACATATAGTTTAAATTTATGTTTTGAGTTTTTTGTTTGTTTGTTTGTTTGTTTGTAAGTAACAGTGGAGTATTTTTGTCTATAAAGTGGTAAATTGTCATTCACTAAGAGACCTAAAAGCTCCAAAGCTTAGCTGTTTTTGTCTTTTTGTATTTTGTGAAGTGACTGATAAAATTTCATTTTAACTTTAATTAGTGCTGGACATGTAGAAAGTGGTAAACTGTCATTTCACTGAGAGACCTCGTTAAATTTGCCTAAAGCTAAACCTCCTGATCCACAACCTGAAAGCTGATTTGTTTTTGCTTTTTTGTATTTGTTTGGGAATTGATGAAGCTTTTATTCCCCCCAATTAGTTTGAACACATTTTGAAGGCATTATTGAAGGTAGTAGTAGTGATTTTTATTTATATTTTTTGGTCTATATAAACTACATGAAGTAGTAAACTGTCATTTCACTGAGAGACCTCGTTAAATTTGTCTGAAGCTAAACCTCCTGATCCTCAACCCCCAAAGCTTCTGGTCGGATCATTCACACATGACTAAATCCAATGTAACAGTCGACTGCAGCACAGCTAGCTTAACCGGTAAACGAGCCAGAAAACCAAGTTACACTTTTACTAACACCTAAAAAAAAACCCCGTATAAATATTGCCGTTAAAAGAAATGTTAAAACCCAGGTGTTTTTTTTTCCGTCCCAACAAAGCAGTGCAGGTTAGCTTAGTTGCCTCCAGTGGAGCGACATTAGCCGTGTCGTTACCGTTACTCCAGACCTCAGTCCAACAACCTGTTGCAGCACTTTTCAAACAGCAGATTCCGTCTTTTTTTTTCTCTCTTTTCCTTCTCTTACCTGCCAGGAAAACGGTAAAAATCCACCACTTCCGGGTCGAAAACATATTCCGAGTCCTGCAGGTGAATTTCATGAACGTTTTCTGATGAACGTCGTCCTCTTTTCTCCTCCGTCTCATCCCTGGACGGCGTCTGAAGCAGCGGACAGTTAACGGGCTCGTAACGGGACAGCGGCTCCAAGCGTCAAGCCCGCCAAAATAAAGCTTCACGGGCTTTTCAACATAAAAGTTTTGTGTTGACGGAAAGAGACTGAACTCTAGTGTGCTGATGTAAGCTGAGAAAAAATATGAATATTGTATAAACAATCAATCATATTTAGACATTTTATTGTCTAATATAATTAAATTCTATTCGTGAATAGAATTTAATCATATTAGACAATAAAATCTTTTCAATTTAAAGCCCCTTGCCATGGGCACTACTGTGTATTTTTGCACATTTTGGCTTTGTGCACCCCAAATAAAGTATGTGTCTGTTTTTACATTGCTTTTCTTTACCTACTAGAATTATTTTTTTTGCACTTTTCTTTGTATATTCTAAATTTGTTTACCTCAGTTTGTTTGTGTGAATGAGTGCATTATGTAAATAGGCTCACCTTGACTCTAGGTAGAGACACAGCAACTAACATGTCAGTGCAATGATAATGTGTTTATTGCTGCATAGGATAATAAAAGCCTCTAAATCCATGACATGCTTTTTAGCATTGGGGGAATAAATATTTGTTGTTCCGACAAACAGCATCTCAGCAACAGAACGGACATCATAAAACAACAAAGTATGCATTTTATTGGAAACGATAATGACCAAATAACAAATGTATCCACTATTTGCATTGCATTTAGTGCCACACATCTGTGATTTACTGAGGTTGTTGATGCTGGCTTGTCTGTTTTCATCCCACTCTTCCTGGAGGGCTTGGTGAGGTTTACACACATTTTGGGGAACCGGATCATGTTGTCGGACACTGTCTGCAACTATTTCAACAAATGAAGAACAAATGATGTTGATTTGGACATTTAAGTGCCAGTCAGGCGTGCCAACAGCCTGTTCTTGTCTTTCTCTTTTTCCATTTC